TTGGGGGGGAATGCCTTCGAAGGCAGTCACCACTTCCGTGATCACGTCGGCCGCTTGCGAGTCGGTCAAACCGGCATCGATGGATGCGGAAGCAGCCGAGGCGCCTTCGTTGTCGATGGCGTAAGCAATTTCGGCCGCTTGGTGCTCTGTGGCTCCGGCGTCCACGGCAGCCTCCGCGGCAACTTCACCTTGTGTGGACGTGTCCGAGTTTTGTTTTTCTAATGAACTTTCATAGGAATTGATGTCGTTGATGTGAACAACGGGCGTGTCATTGGATGCAGGAAGGGCATCTTGGGCTTGTACTCGGGCGACAACAAACAGAAGACCAATCAATGCGACTTTGGAGAGTTTCATGGTGGCAAGTACGCAAAGACAGAATTGGATTGACGCACACTAAGATGTATACAGAAGACGTCCGAATTGAAAATGAGCTTTGAATGAGTACTTGACTTTTCACAAGACTTACATGCAGGCTGTGTGACCTTTGGGGCGTGTTCGATTTGATAGCCAATCGGATAGGGTGGAAGGTATTTGGTCAACCAATCGTGTTGTTGCATTGCGTAAACTGTACGAAAGGTTGTCTCGAGCGTATCCATCGATTTGAATAACAACCTCTTGGGAGGCAGCAAGCCGTGCGACTCCCCGTTGTAGCGTTAGTGTTTTAGCCAGGTGCTTGGCAGAATATCAAAACTGCACCGACCGACAGAAACTTCACGTTAGATCCCGCCGTATCGTACACCGCGACCGAGCAGACACAACGAAAGACGTTGGGTATGCAACCCATGAGCACAAGCGCCCTTAATACACCCCAGTCACCGGACTTGCCCAATCGGTGTAGGTGCCGAACGCTCGACTTTATGATTGCCTCATGTCAGCCACCAACTACCACTATTGTTGCCACCACGCTGACATCCTCGTCAGACGCTGGACCACAATGGGCACCAGCGACAATGCCTTTGCTGGCAAGTAATTGACTTCCCACCACCATCGCCGCAGCGACTTCTCCATCGTTCGTTCATGCCCTTCTATGACTTTACGTTTCCTTTAACGTTACAACGTCCACCAGTTTCAAAGTTTATGCTGCACCATCTGCGTCTGTTGTGGACGCTGGTGTTACTGGCATGATGATTTTGGGGGTCGCGGCATTGAGGAGCTTCTTTTGCGCAGCCAGCGGTCGCCGCTTTCGCTTGGACTTCTTGGTAGCTTTGTCGGAATAGTCCGAGGGTGCGTCCACCTTAACTTGGTACGCAACATCTTCGTCCGGCCTGGAGGTGGTGCAGCCCACGGGTTTGAAGACAATTTTGTTGCCGCTCGAGTCCTCGTCGAATGCCCGTGGTGGCTTCACGACTTCGACCACTTGAACAACCTCCTCGACCACTTCGGGCACTTCTACTGGTTCTGCCTTTTGCAACGCCAGGCGCAGCAGGTACAGTCGCATGTCCTCTTCTGCGATCCAAGCTGCCAACGCATCGTAGCCTTCCAGTGGAACATGGTTGATGAAATCCCACGGTCGGTTGCGGTCCTGGTCAATTTCACTGGGCCACACAGACGGGAACTCGCCGTCGCCGTACTCGATGCGCTTGTGGTAGTAGTTGTACATTGGGCGTCGAATGTGCTGCTGTCGTTTACCGTGGTCGTGGACGCGCGCACAGCACTAAGCAATATCCGCCATCAACTACCGACCGCCATAACATAGGGAATGGAATCTACCTCGGGGCAAAAGTACTCGCCACAGGTGCTGCACTCGACCGTCGCAGTGCTGTCAACGTCTAGCCACCATTCAATATAGTCGATGACAAGTGTAGAGCGTACCGCATTGATTGCACGTAGGTTGACGCTCCAACGACAGCACATCGCTGGGCATCCGCCATCGCACGTCGCTGTTGATTTGGTTCTAATCCAACAACAACTTCAAAACAACCATGTCGCGTGGGACGTTTGTACGTAGTAAAAAGGGGCGCCGTGTCCCATGCCATGCGCGTTGTCCACATCCAGCACTTGTTTCCATCGACACTCGTGGGCCAATTGTAGCTGGGCATACACATGCCGCGCACGATGTCGACGGAATTGATTCTGCACCAGTCCCGCTGCCCAAAACAACATGGCGTCGTCTTGCTTTTTCATCTCTAGTAGCGCTGTCATTTCAGCCTACATGCCAATGCATATCCGTGATGGGTCCAAGATCGTCCATTCCGACAAAGTGATGTATACCCGCGCGCATCGAATGGCCAGTACATTGCGCCACCACAGCTGCAGCCGGCTGGCAGCCCCCCGTCGTGCCACGTTGCCACTGCGCCGCATCTCGGCTTCCCACACGCGGCTCTTGTACGCCACCCGTTTCTTCCAGCGAAGTTGCACCAGCGTCGCGGCCGCTTCGTGTTCGCGGCGGTCACGAGCCTGCCATGAAATCCATAAACATCTATCGCCCAGAAATCCAAAAAAATGGATGGCTCGGAACGCACCATGCGTAAGGCGCCCATGATACTGCGGCCTTGACGCGCCCGCCATGCGCATTGCATCTTGGTCGCCGCGCGATAGGTTTCCGCCAGCCGATCCAACCGCGCGCGGAACTTGCGCCGAGCGATGCGCTGTCGATACATGCACTGCAGCCGAATCGCTGCGTGCTGACGCTGGACTTCTCGGTCAAGCTCGGCCTGTCGTCTTGCGGCTGCTACCTTTCTAGCTTGTCGACCTCGCATCAACGACTAGGACGGTTCAGTTTGAGACAGCGCGTTCATACGTAGTTCGCACTCCTGAAAAAAACAATTTCAGCAAACGTACTTGTAGTTGCGTCGCTGACGCTGTTTCTTCTTGGCGGTCCGCCTCGCGCATGGCCTTGGCGAGTTTGAACTTGCGCCGGCCGTCGATGCCCCGCCACCTGCGCTGCATTTTCGTCGCCGCCTCGTGTCGTTTCTTGGTCCACCGTTTCTGGGCTTTCATGGCCACTTGCGCTACTCGGGCCCCTCGAACTGCGCGGTACCTAGGGGTAGGGTCCACCAGTGAAACGAATGGCTGAGCTGGCATAACAGAGGAGCACGCACCGTCGCTGAATGACCACCACGAGCTCTTTCGTGCGCTTGAGCAACAAATCTTCGTACTCGTGCAACGCAGTTTGCTTGGTTCGGTACCGTCGAAAGCAGCACTTCATACGACAACATCAGCAACAATATCAAGTCGAAACCACATCAAGACACCTAACTCAAGCATACTGTATATATCGTGTCCATGTTGAGTAGCCGAAGATGACAAACCTGAATTTGAGTGGCAGCTCGATGCCGTTTGTCCATGCCGAGCCGTTTGACAGCCGCCCGCTTTCGAGCGCGCCGGCCTCGCCATTGACTTTGCAACCGCCGGACCACACGATGGCGTAGGGCGACCTCTTCTTGAACCGCGAAATCCCGCCTCGCTTTTCGAAGGCGATATACGTTCTATGGAGACTTGTCATCGACGTGAAGTATCAACGGGAGGCACCTGAATCTTGATCGCCGCGAGGCACAGCTGCCCCGATTCATCCATGTACCGCCGCTCCTTGGCGCGATGTGTTGGAAAGTATCCCATTTCGGACTGGGATGATCGAAACACGGTGTATTTCCATGATGATTTCAACGACGACAACACCCTCGTGGAAATTCCACAGCCCTACATGAGCGTTATGGATGAGGCAAAAGTCTTCGTAAAACCAAATGTTCACTGTGTGGAACTAATGGAATTTGTTCATAGACAAAGTGAGATCGTTAGAGGGGGGTGGAGCGCGCGCACCAAGACACTAAGTCGAATCAAGTGTGGACACGTGAGCGCCGCGCGATTCATAAAGTCCTCCGTGACCAATGGACATCCGTTGAGAATGAGTTGCTGCAACGCCGACGACGTCGATCGAAACGACGACACGAACGCCGACAGTCCCACGTCTGTGATCTGAGTACAGCCTTCGATCGGGTATATCCGACTTAGAATTGCCAATCAGTTAGAGAGTAGACCCACCGGAAAGATTGAGCACGACCAATTGGTTGGACAGTCGATGCAAGTACCGAAGTCCGCTGTCGGTGACGCGAACGCATTGCGCAAGGATGAGCTCCTTGAGAGCAGCACAGCACTTGGCGATTTCTTGCACGACTGCGTTGGTGCATTGCTCGATGGCGGTAAAGTTGACATGCACGAGCGACGCACACCCTTGAAGAACGTACGACAGGCCCACGGAGGTGGCGCTGACACATCCGCGCAGGTTGATCTTCTTGAGGGACGTGCAGTGGGTCCCAATGCTATGAAGAGATCGCTACGTATGTGGTTAGTTATATGGACCACAAGTGTAGGGTTTCCTTCGCACCTCGACGATTTGAAAGCACCCCGACACGTCTAAATCCGTGAGGGCTAGCGACAACCAAATACGACTGTTGTGAGAGAGACTGTCCACTACAACAGAAATTGTGAATTGAATGATCGCTCACCTCGACACGACTGCGCCACCGCTTGGAGCCCTTCGAGACCGAACTCACGCTTGACGCCGTCCGATACCAAATAAAGTTGTTTGAGATGCAGCAGTGACAGACGGGGGCATCCGTCTGAAAGGAACCGGAGCCCGACATCCGAGATGTTCTTGGCGTGGCCCAGGTACAGAGTTTGGAGGTGGGGGGTGAGGCTGCCCAAGGCGCGCATCGCCACATCCGTGAGTTTTAAGCAGTGGGTCATGTCGAGGCTGGTGAGGGCAGGGCAACCCTCCGCCAGCCACCGAACCCCTATGTCTGAGACGAACGTGCACCCTGACACATTCACCAACTGCCACCATATCACAACCGAAGCCCGGGTAAATTAAATGTCCTCGTAGCTGACAACCGACCTGCAATCGAGGGCAATGCTCCCCGCAGCTCAACAAGGCCAAGTCCGTGATGCGTTCGTTGAATTGGGCCTTGATGGACGCCAAACTCAGTCGCTCCAGCGCCACGCAGTGCTCAGCCAGATACACGATGCCAGTATCTGTCAACTTTTCAAATTGCATTTTCAATGTTTAGACCGTTGACGTGACTGTGGAGTTTGTCTACCTGGGGGCACGACGACAGGTCCAACTCGATCAAGTAACGGCACCGCAGCGCCATGGCCTTGATCATGTTGTCTGTGATCTACAACATCTTTGTTCGCAACTACACCTTCACGGCACCCAGTTTGAAGTGTTTTGACCTGGACACAAGCCGACAAGTTGACGTGGGTGAGTCGCTCAAAGTTATAAAACGCCCGAACCAGCACCCAGTCTTCCAAATGCGCACACTCGGCCAGCGCGAGGCCTACATGCATTTTTTTGTTCGTGTAAACCGATCGTACACTCGGGCATGTTTTACGCTGCATGCTATGGCAGTGGTCGCTCACAGCTCCCAGTCCCGCGCCCGCGATGCCTGTGCAGCCCGAGATGTTGAGGCTTGTGAGTTTGGTGCAGTGCAGCGCCAATGTCCTCATGCCCGCGTCGGTCACCTGTCAATCCTCGTTAAAAGAATCGCAGTAGTCGCTTGGGCAGAAGAATGTGGGGCGACCTTGGTGGCATGTGCAATGTCCAAGCATTCCAGGGCCTCTACCGCCTTGGCCACCGCCATGAGACCCACGTCCGTCAGCGCCTCGATGCCGGCCGCGACGATGCTTCTCGTGAACCCTTGGTAATTGGGTTGGGCTTTCATTTTGTCCATTGCAAACGCGTCTATCGATCGTAGTCTCATCCCAGGCCATAGTCATCCAAAGTGAATCAAAATCGCTGTATTGTACTGGATTGAAGGTTCCGTAATCGGTTGTTGTGGGCGGCGATTTTCAGAAACGCCGTGTCGGTGGCCACAAGTGTCCACATGGACAGATTCACGTGCACTTGTTGCAGCAATTGTACCGGGAAGAACGGGATCGGCGCATCGATGGTTGCAAGGGACGCCACCCCGCTATTCGCTACCACCGCGACGTGGGTTGTGGCTTTCTTCACTGGTGAGGTCGCGACGTGGTTTCTAGTCAATTCCCACCAAGATCGTCACATTATTGTCGAAGGATTCCACTGGAAATAAGTCCGAACCGCCACGCGAGTTTAAAGCGCACGGATTTATCATTTGGGTCGTCCACGGAGGTATCGTTGTGGGGGTTGTTGTTGTCTTGGTTCGGGGCTCTAGTGCGAGGGGCGGCGGCAGTCGTCAGGCCTCGGCGCTTGGCTTCTTTGATTTTCGCCACTGGATGCCTTGCTACCGCGTGGGTTTGAGGTCTGGCCACGGGCAGCTCGTCCAGTTTGTCCAGCAAGGGAACGGGGCGGCGGCGCTGCTGCTTCTTGGACTGCCGCCCTCGCGCTTGTCTAACCAACCTGCGTCAATGTTGACTCCAAAGACAGCAAGCGCTCGTACGGGTGACGGTGGTCCAGTGCCGTGACCTCGCGATAGTAGTCATCCAAAAGCCCCATATATACCGCACATTCACCACGACGTGAAATGTCTGCGACGGTTACACGTGGGTTGACGTAACTGAAGCGCAATGTATGTACTCTCCCTTGTATGACAGGCAAGTTCGTATTTGCAAAAACCAGTGCTTTCAGTCCACTTTCACGATGAAGTACGTTCCTAGGGATAACGATAGACTTTGTATGGCCTAGAACCTGCGACTGGTACGACATTATTCTCATGTGATTCCAATGGAAACGAAGGCGCGTGTTGCTGCTAACTGTTAATAGTTTGTTGCGCCTTGGGCGTTGCTATTGTGGACAAAAATAGCCCCAATAATGCCCAGGGATTGCTTCCACATGCCTCGGGCTTGCTTGGCTAGCGCTATGATGTGTGCCTTTGTAAAAGCCCAGAAGACAACGATTGACTTGGATGGATGCAAGGCATGCGCAGAGCATAACAACTGTGAATTCGCCGTCAACAACGAACGACCAGGTGTCTTTTGTGGTGTGTTTACCCGCCCCGAGCAAGTTCTCCAGCAACCCGGCAACCAATCCGCATGCTGCTGTCCCCTCGACGTGCCTTGTGACGTCGGGTTGTTTACTTGCTCGTGCCTCCCTGCCTCATCTTGGAATCCATTCCCGACCACGGCCGACACGCTCCTGGCCATCACATTCGCCGTCGTGGTGCTGCTGGTGCTTTGTGTTTTCTCCACGACCTTGTGCTGTGTGTACTGCGTCTACCGGTGCTGCTGCCACCCCACAGACAGCGTGGCCATCTCCATCGACGACGACTCGCTGTTTCAGCTCCAGACTGTGGCCGCCGAGGGGGACGAGGAGGGGGACGATGGTGTCACCACGGCTGACCCCGCCCCTCAAAGCAACAACTGACCGTCAGAAATTGAAGACGGGCACGATGGGCGCCGGCCGCCGATCACAAAGAAATCGTCCTGGCGCCACGCACAGTCGACATCGACAAACCCGACCTCTTCCATCCACTTGAGTTGCGCAAACAAGGCGGCTTGGCCCACGTGGTCGCCCAGAATGACGTGGCCATTCGGGCGCAGAGAGTTGAACATGAGCTGGAAGATGCGCTTGTGGTCGGCTTCGTTATCGCGTTGCGGCCCCGCGGACGAAGGCGCTTCGTAATGCGGCGGGCGCTCCACAAGCACATGCACCGCCAAGGAGGCGACGATGACGTCGAAAGGCGCCTTGCGCAAGATGGACAGTTTGTTCAGGTCCGCGACGACAAAGCTGACCGAGCGGGAGGAAGCCCGCAATCTCTGGACGGCCATGTCGAGGCGGTCTTTGGCGTTGTCAAACAACACCAGCTCCACGTCGGGGTACGCCGCGAGGACCTTCTCGGAGCAGGCGCCGCTTCCAGCGCACAAATCGGCCACACGATGCGAAGGGCCCACCGGTGGCAACGCGAAGATCATTTCATCCAACATGCGAGGGACAAGGGGGAGGCGCCGCGTGAGCTGGAGGTCGTACCACCGTGCGTCTCCCCAGAACCCACTGGACGAGGCACGATGTCGAACGATGTTTCGTGTCCACGAGGAAGAAGATGAAGAATTGCCGCCGCCATGGGCGTCGTCTGGAGAAGCACTGTCATGCGGTCGCTTGCTACGAGGAACAGCATCTCCACGGGTTGTATCGAGCTCCTAGAGTTGTTTGATGAATCCCACACCATTTAAAGAATCTCATGGGTGTATCTGCACCTGGACTTGGGCGTCGATGGAGGACAAGTCCACGGCGTCGTCCACATCGGTGAGCAAGGCATGGTTGTGGTTCAAGTTCATGCTCGTGATGTAGACGCCGCCAGCCTTGCGCACATTTGCGTTCACTGAAAATGTACATGCAGTGTCCGTGCGCTCTTCTTCTTGTTGCGCCGCTTTGAGTTTGGGTCGGCAAGCCCACTTGGCGTTGGACGTGGTGCGGTACATTTGCTTGACCACAAACCCGTGCTTGAGGGCGAGTGCGTCCAGCGTCTTCTTCAGATTGCTCATGCTCATGTGATCCACTTCCAGAGGTCTCTCCATGTACTCCGCATGGATGTCGTCCATGTCCACAGGAAGCGGAATCAGGCGATGGTTCACCGCGTTTCGGATGTATTCCTCGTTCATCGCAACAAAACTGACTGATACCAGGAAACCTTTCGGATAAACTCGTACAGTGTATCCGGTGTACTAGTATCAACGGCCCCTTCAAGTTGGCCAAACGTCGTGAAGTCACACAGAGCAGCCCTTGGCCAGGTCGTTCGTGTTGCTCTCTTCCGATGCTGCATGACACGCGTGTATATCCTGCATTAATGATGGAGAGGACGGTCAACATAAGTTTGCTGTGTAACCGTCCGGAAAACGGTGGAGCGTGCCGGTTCAGCGGACAATTATGAGCGCCGTCCGACACCGACGTCGGCAATCCGTCCTCGTGCCTGTGAACCCGAATGCATATAACACTCCTCGACGAGGGTCTGCAGTGTCTTACGTGTCCAAATCGAACACGGCAAAGGCTAAACCCACCGTCACGGCGAGGTACTCGTCGGATACGCTCAAGGTCGTGGAGGGCGGGTCGTCCGGGTTTTACTCGGTGCATTTCCAGTTCACGACACCTCCTACCCACCCCATCATCGTGTCGCCCATGACTAATGCGCATACGCTGCGGATTTATCCGCCCGTGATCAAGTTCAACCCGGAAGATGCGCATCTGCCGCAGTTCTTCCGAGTCAGTGTGCTCCACGAGACCGACGACGTACGTGCATACTGTACGTGACATGCACATCCTCATCGCATTCGACCAGGACACGAGGGCCCCCATGACATTGGAGCACTCGGTCCAGAGCATCGACCCGTCATTTTGTGGCTACAGCGTCATGCACGAGCCAAAGATACTGACCGTCGCCATCTTCCACGGCGGCGGCAAGTACCTCATGTCCACTGGCGACGGTACCTCGTGTCCCTACTACCTGGTTCCACTTTTCACCAGAGTGAATGTTTGCATCAGCCGCGTACGGCACTCTTGGGCAGGACACGTTGGACCCTCGCTACGAGTTTGGCGACGTGAGCTTTTGCCACTTGTACTTGAACGGCCGAAAGACGACCTCTGGCCATCGGAAGGGGACGTCTGCCCGATCCACATCGCTCTGTGACAGCGTCCATGTGACCATGCTCAGTGAAATCGCTTGCGGCAGCCACCACGCGATTGTGCTCGATGCCAACGGACGCCTGTTTGCGTTTGGGTGCGTTCAGAGATTGACAACATATCAAGTTATCACTGTGACGTTTCGTGTAGCGACTCGAGTCGAGGCCAGTTAGGTGCGCCGTGGCCACCACATGCTATGTAGCCTTCTGGAGCCTTGCTTGAATGAATATGGACGTGTGCGATTGGTGTTGTAGGGTTAGGGTCCCGTCGGTCGATGGCGAAACCAGGAGTTTGGAACGGCATTGACGTGGATGGTCGCCTGCACTCCAAGCTGTTTGGAGTCGCGTGCGGGGCAGCTCACACGGTTGTGATCACGGACGACGGCGAAGTGTTGACATGGGGCGACAACGACAGCGGCCAATTAGGTAAGTCAGAAAGTATATACATGACTCATCAATTCTCCCCCCTGCCTCGTTTGAAGGAATGTCGTCGCGGCAGCTGCCCTCCCTGGATTTACCCAAATGTGTACGTTGCTGTTGGTTTCGATGGAATTCACCTCAAAAGTGGTAGCTTCCGTGGCCACTGGGGCATAAAATCATCCACGTACGAGCAAGACAATTCTACATATTGTGTCAAAGTGTATGTCCAACTTTGTCTCAGATGGCGTGTGGGTTGAAGCACACGATGGCGTTGCTGGACACGGGTGCGGTCGTGTCTTGGGGTTACGGCAAGTCCGGGGCCCTCGGGCACGGCAACCGAGACAACGTCGACGGGCCTAAAGAAGTCGTGTCGTTGCGGGGGCAGTCTGTGTTTCAAGTACATGAGACGGGGTCGTAATCGGAGTTTATTCACTTTGCCGTTGTTCGTTTGTGCTAGGTCGCTTGTGGGGACATGCACTCGGCAGTGGTGCTCAATTCTGGCGAGCTGGTCACGGCGGGATGGTGTGAGAATGGCCGATTGGGTCGCATGAAAGCGCTGGACGACTGCGGGTGTACTTTTGAGCGAGTAAAATCGCATCCTACTTCGTGAGGACGATGAACTTTTGCTGATCGTGTTTTGTAGGTGGATTTGAAGGGAAAGTTGTGCAGTTGGGTGGCGTGCGGCGGGGCCCATACCATGTGCTTGACGGACCAGTACGATGTGCTGGCGTTCGGGGCCAACACGTTCGGGCAGTTGGGTGTAGGCGACTGCCGCGACCGCGCGTACCCTGTGGAAGTAGTGTTTTTCCGAAAAGTCAGAGTGCATCATGTCGTGCTGGGCAAATTCCATTCGGTCCGACCCCTCCACCATTATAATCTATCTGTTCAAACCTTAGACGTAGCTGGCCATTTCCGACGATCGGTTGTTGTATGCGTGGGGAAACGGGGAGCAGGGTCAGTGTGGCCTGGGCCCCTTTCCTCACATTTACACGTTGCCGCAGCTGGTTCGGTCGGTCTTGGGTTGTCCAGTGTTTCAGGTACCCTTCCTTCAGTTTATTCAGTTGACAACCCTTGACGATACATCTTGCTAGATTGCCGCGGGGGACGCATTCACGCTGATCTTGACCAGCAACACGCCCACGTTGGTGAAGGATTTGGCTGGACGGTTGGTTGGCTTATCTAAGCGTTGGGTCATAATGAGCCAAGTAGGGACGAACATTGGCGGTTGAGGCAAAAGCAGCTCGTGGCCAGCGACAAGGCCCACCGCGACGCCATTCGAAAGCAGCTAGACGACAAAACACAGCAAAAATTCCACGACACCATGCACGGGAACCATCCGTTTTTGGCGGTGTTGCGACAACTGCACCAATCGTCCCCCCTCGCCCTGGCCCATGTCCAGCTCAAGACCCCCCCGTCCGCAGACGCGATTGCTGCCGCCGTCAAGCGGTCAGGGCTGAGTCGACAACGCAGCCTAGACAAGCTTCAGTTTGTGGTCGACCCGGCTACTATGGCCCAAGTGGAGCTAAAAGTACACTCGCCACGCAACAAGACCTTGACCAACCCTCGATGCCACAGCGCCAACCTCCACGGCCCCGTTCGCACAAGCCAGATGTTGGCTCAATCCCCCAGCCTACAACGAGCGCTCAAGTCTGCGGCAGCGCTTCGGGTAGGTCGACGACCTGTCGGTTGAAGTTTTTCAGGTGGACGAACGATGTGTGTAGAGACCCCGCAGTGGCCTTGCAGCCTGCATCGGCTCCCCTCGATGCCCCCAACAATCGATTCAAATCAAACCACCCAGGACACAAATCATGGCGCCGCCTACCTCACCACAAGCACAGCCGCAATGGCTCCTCCGGCAAAAACAACAAATGACATGCCGACGACAAGTCATTTTACGCCGCCCCCGCTCCCCACCCCCAGCGTACCCCACCGACGAAAACGCGGCGGACAATCTGTCCAAGCCCCGCGACGACCAGCATCGCCCGCCGTCGCCCCCGCCAGACTATGGCGTGGCTATGATGGGGCTACGAAGCACCACTATCAGCCTTCCACGCGATCGATAGCAAAAACTACAGCGAGGAGGACCCTGAAACCTCGACAGATTTGAATGAAGTAGTGGCATTATTGTATACTATGTTGGTTTTTCACACAATCTAGACTGTCGCGTGAGGTGTCTGTCATCATGGAAACGAACAACCTGTTCTTGGTCGTCTATGAGAAGCCCAGCAACGACTGCAGGTCGGCTTGTTCCCGTGCAAACGCTTCAAAGTACTGGTAGATGATGGTCACGGCCAAGAGCACGCCGGTGCCCGAGCCGATGGCGCCCAAAAAGTCGGACACGATCACCAACGCGCCGACGGCGACGCCGCCAAAGGTCGCGGCCACGGGGATGTAGCGGTTGAGCACGTGCACGAGCGACGTGTCGCGGTGGCCCTTCATGACCATTTGTTGGTCGCGAAGCTGCTTAGCAACGTCCCGCGACGACGACCCCGAGATTTCGATCCACACGCTGGCAAAGAACGCCGACGAGCCGAGCACGAACGCCACGTACACGAGGGCGCGGATAGGGTCGTACAAGATGGCGGCGGCGCTGCCAGGCGCCGAGATGTAGTAGGCCAAGCCGCTGACGGGGATGGCGCCGGTGGTGCCTTCGACGTCGGCCCACACCCCGACGAGGCGGATCAAAAAGTTGTCGCCAAACTTCTTGAAGAGCAATTGAGACGCAAAGTAAAAGTTGGAGACGAGGGCCGTTTGCAAGATGATGGGCATGTTGGACGTGTAAAACAATTTGACGGGGAACGCGCCTTGTTGTGCGCGGAATTTTGCGTACTTGATGGGGAGGTCGATGCGGAAGCCATGGACGTACGTGATGAGCACGAACATGAGGATGGTCGACAGCACGTTGGTGATGTTGGGGAGGTTCTGGCGGTACAATGCTTCCTTGATGGCGTTGAGCTTGTTCTCGCGCGAGAACAACACGTGGAAGAACGCAATCGCGGCGCCGTGGAACTCGGTGCCGCGGCCGGTCGTGATGGACACGGGGGAGAATGTGTCCCACACGATGTTTTGGCACACGTTGGTCGCAATGAAGAGCGACACGCCCGAGCCAAACCCGTAGCCCTTTTGCAACACTTCGTCGAGCGCAATCACGACCAAACCGGCAAAGAACAGCTGCACGATGATCAAGATGGCGTTCGCGGCGCCAATCTCGCCCACACTGCCGTACATGCCAGCAAAGACATACGCGGTCGCTTGAGCCAGCGTGATGAACACTCCGATCAGCTTTTGCGCGCCGCTGAACAACGCACGGTCTTCCTTGCTGTTTTGGTCAACTTCAAGCAGACCGGAGCCGGCCAGCAATTGCAAAATGAGCCCTGACGACACGATGGGACCGACGCCGAGTTCCATCAACGTGCCACGGTTCGACGCCAAGATGGCGCGCATCCAGTATAGCGAGTCGCTGGCGGAGTTGTTCTTGACGCCGTACAGCGGCAATTGGGAGCACACGAGGAAGATGAGAAGCACCACGACGGTCCACACGACCTTTTCGCGGAAGGGGATGCGGCGGTCGGGCGTGGTGATGTCAGGGATGACGCTCATGAGCGGACGCAGGACATGAAGGAGGCGCACCATTGTTGTTGACTGGTGGGGGAAATATCCAAGGTGGCCTGGCCTTCAAACCTCAGACCAGGCTTTTTATCGAGGGAACCCTCCACGTGGTGATTTTAACGAACTCGGATTGGCCAAAATAATACATTTTAACCAATCAAGTTAGTTGTTGAGTAAAGACACCAAACATTTTGTGGTCGTGAGGCTCAAAATTCAGCCAATCAGAAAGGAAAAACCAATTCCTTTGTGTGGTTTTTTCACCATTCCACACAATCTCTTAAACGCAGGAAATTCCCTTTCAATACTGACCTGTTCACCGTTTCAAATCGCACCAATCACAGCAAAAGTGACTGCTCGCAGTCAGGCAGTCAGAACCAGGGCTGTACCACTCGACAAACTTGCTTGTGAACATCAACCATCGCTTCGTCGGGAGGGGCTAGACCCACAAACCCGAGGCACAGATGGCGGAATCAGTACGAACTACTCCCAGTACCAAAAAACGACAACCATTCTCTTTCATGTTCACAGACAAGTGTGGTTGCAGAGCAACGTTGGAACTGCGTTGAGAGGCAATACGTCCTGTGGTTCGTGTCGATCCCGAATCGTTGGCTCAATTGTGTTTGCACCGTCGTACTCGGCTGAATTCTGGCGTGAGTATGTACAGTACATCCAAGGCACGAGCCCGAGGGCTTTTACTTGATCCAGCAAACGCTCAATCACATGCGCCTCGCTCGGCCAGCCAATTGCCTTGATGGCACTATGGGGTATAAAAACGGGTGTGCCAAGAATGACGCCGCCGAAGCTCTAAGTACAAGGATATATACAGATCCATGACATGAACGGGAGATGTAGGTAAGAACAGGGTACTTGTGGTGATGATGTGGACCCGGGATACGTCCAATCGCTCGTGGTCAACTGCCGCATTCCAGCGTACTATTGCTTTGGGGGGTAGCACTAGTACGTGGTGGACACGAGGAAACGTAACGCTCGGTTCTGTTTTACCACTTTGAACCTGGCGTTTTCCATTTTGACAATGTCGCCAAGTTTGCGCGCGTGGCATTCGCCCCCATGCACCCTGAACCCGTCGCCCTCGCGAGGGGGTCGTACGGGGTCCTCACGTGAGTTTGCACTTTACCGACATGACACTCTCATAAGTACCCTCGACGTAGATAGGGCATGGAAACGCTGAACCGCGTGGATTTATAAACGCGCCGCTCATGTAGACATTTCTTGAACGCATGGACGAGTGCACCTGCACCAGTAGCATCCGGTGTCAAATCACCGGGCGAGGGATGACTCTGTGAACCGGAAAAGCAATCGCTGGTCAACGCGGTCTTTGCGACGGCATGCCAGTGGGTCCAAGCCAACTTCCGGACGTGGAGTGACTGGGTTGATCACCTTCCGCTCTGCTCCATCCATCACACGCGTCAAGTACACGATCGCGCATGCCCGCAACGGCAAAGTGGAAGGAGACAGGTCCGGACAACGTGTCCCAGCAGTACGTTTCGGCGGCGGCAAAATCATCGCCGGCCCCTCGTCACGAGTAAGTAGAAATACTGGCTGGCGACGCCACCTCCATGCGATCAATTGCATTACAACTACACGATCACCGACTGCGACAAACACTCGCGACGTCAAGTGACGTTCTTGTGGAAGGTGGCCGACAACGGCGCGAGTTCCGAGTGCACAGGCGGCATCCCTTTGCCCCCTCCGACATCAGTCCTGTGCTCGACGACATGCCCACGACCATCTCCGCGGTACTCCCCTCTTTCGTGTTGTGTACTCGCTCACGCCAATTAAATCTAGGCGTTCCAAGGCATCACGATGCTGACTTGCGTTTCTGCTTGTTTGTTCTGTGTTGATCGTGTCATTTCGAAACACACCAGTGATCACGCGGTGCCAATTGCTGCTCATTGTAATCGGAGGCATGGTATGGTGCTGTGTATGGACGCTGTGTTCAGCCCACGGACTGGCTGTGTGGGAGCTAGCCACTGCCGGACTCGCTGTCGTTCTCGATGATCTTTGTGCAATCATGATCAAGTGATTGCAAGTGTACTTGATGTTCAACAAGAAAACCATGAAAAAGATCACCGGGCCCCAGAGCCATAACCACAGTCACCCCTGTCACCAAGTTCGACGGTCTCGTGCGTGCGTGGGGCTTGTCCACAGCCATGAGTTATATGATATGCTGCTGCTGGGCATGGTACATATGCAACGTCCTACATTGAGTGTACAATGGAACCTCGGACACGCATATCACTTTATTCCTGTAGTTGTTTGTGATTGCGTGTATGGTGATGCCGAAATGTGGGTCACGTCGGCGGGTAAGACTAAGTCCACCGTCACGAAGCCCCCCGGCGGGAAAACCTCGAAAAGCCAACTGTCGTCCGACAGCCCCCCGATGAGGACGAGCGCTTTGACCAACATGGTCATGTCGTTGAAGTTGAACTTCGAAGACAAGCACGTGAGTTGGCCCACCGTGCCGTCGAACTCCGCGGCGGTGGCGACCGAGACCTGACTATAAGGAAAGCCGTCCCCCCACGACCAAGCCTGCATGTCGCCTTGAGTTGTCACCATGACGTAATCATCATCCATTGAGTAGTACCCATGTCGATGTCAATGATGACGAAGTACAGTTTGACCTTTTTCCCCAATGTCACTTTGACCTTTTTCCCCAGTGTCCTTTTTCCGGTCGTCGCTGGCGAGAAATAACAAGTACACTTGAAGCGACTTGACGAGGATGTCATCAGCGAACGTGACTGAGAGCCCCAAGGACGCGGCCATGTGATGGAGATGGCGCACACACGTCGGTGGGCGTCCCTCCTGACACGAGGACGTAGACACACATGATCCCTCCAATACCCAACGACTAGTTAGTTTAGCAGAAACGTCCGTGAGCACTGCCTCGTTGTTATCTTCTGTTTAACATGGATCACCTACATACGTGTCCTTTCTCATTCACAACACAGACTCGGACTTCCAAGAAGCGGCTAGGATCATGGCGGGGTCGTCAGTGATTGTGGTGGTTGGCGCGATAATTGTCACCTCCATCGCGTACATTTTAGACGTGGACGCACCCACGAGCTTCGCCGCCATGCTTCGTGTGATACTCTTTTGCACCGTACGTCCGTGTCGTCGTGTGCGTGACCCCGTTGTGAGCTGATGTGTGATGTGCACCGGTGGTCCTGACCATGCTTATGCTTGTTCCCAAATTTTGGTGCCTTCGCAACAGCCGCGGCAGCAAATTCATGACCACGGCGTATCCGTCACAAACGCAGGCTCGACCACGCATCCAGTATCCGAGGTTGCGCCAGAATGTGGTCGTTATTGAAATAGGACAGTTCATGATAGTGAGTTTGTGGTGTTTTAGTTGGGGCGCATGTTTTGCTGGTGCTGTTGCCTACCGATCGATGTGAGTGTTGTCTCCAACAGCCTGTTGGAGACAACACTCACATCGATCGGTACACTTTAGCACAGTAAACATACGAACAAAATGAATGACTGACAGTGAAGTATAACAATGTCCTATGTTTTGGTTGCGAAATCCATGTCCACTATCATGGGCTGGACAATTGAGATGAACGCGACGCATGAACGCATGTGCGTTGTCTGTGTGGTCAAGTAATGTGCTGAATTGATGTGAAGCTCGTTGAAAATTCACCCCTTGAACTTCGAAACAAAGTGCTATAGATCGAGAGATTCACAGTCACTACTGTCATAGTCTCGCGTTGCTTCAACCCCTACCCCGGAGGCAGGTCGCCCTTATCCAAGTACATCGATTCCACCGCTCACTTTTACACTACGTATATGTATAAAATTGAATCTGCAAAAACCATTGCCTTTCAAACGTTAGTATCTAAACGAATTGGTTCCCCAGACGCTTCAACACCTCAGTTTTTGATTGTCATGGTGCAAACTGTTTCGTTACTGGTGGCGGCCTGCGCTGTTGCCCACGTGTCTGCGTGGGGCATGCACCGCGTGCGCACGATCCAAGCCCGCGTGCAGGGCGGCAAGCCCGTGTACGACGACGTGCACAAGCAGTGGGTCGCTCCCTTCGGCAACACGTTCGAGGAGAAGTGGCGCGCGTCCATGGACAGCGTCAACACGGCGAGTGTGGAAGGCGCGTTGATGTACGTCCAGTCGGAAGGCATCATCGACGGCCCCCAAAAGCCGTACTGCGACCGCAAGAACAAGATTCAGTACGTGTGGATCTACGACATTGAGATCGCCCAGACCAACGCGTCGTTGGCCGAGTATGACGCCAACTGGGGAGTGTACCCCGAGTACTGTCCGTTTGTGGCGCTTGACGGCGGCAAGTGTACGGCCATGTGGGAGAACTCGACGTATGCGATCTTGCCAGACATTTGCAACAAGTTTGCTGGATTGGCTGGCCAAAACAACATTGGCCCGTGCGTCGGAGGTGAAGACCGCACCAACCACCCCAAGGCGCCGTACCCCAACAACATTTGGTTCTCGTTCCCCAACTCGTGTTTCACCAAGGGCTTCTCCGGCAAGACGGACGCCTGTCGCGCGGCCGAGAAGGGTGGCCTGTGCCCGTTCGGCATTCGCCCCGACGGTGTCACATGCACGTTTTCGGCCACCGTGTTGGGCTACCTCAACCTCGACGACCTCGTGGGCATCACCGCTTTGAATAACACCAACACTGGCCACCCCTATGTCACCCGCACGGAATTCTGCCAGGCCGGAGGTGTCGAGACGGACCTTCCGTTCTGGCAGGACACGCTCAACCCCGCGGCCAACAACGCCCGATCGGACAAACTCATCGAGTTCTACCAATCCCTGGCCAAGACGGATCCCCAAATGACACCACTGCCCGAGCTGACCGCGCTCACGGCCGCCAACCCCAAGTGCTATGAAAACTCGCACCGATGCACCAACGGTTGCCGCCGAAAGCTGTACGCCCAAGTGTGTGAAGTGTGCTCGTCCGGCGACGATTGCTTCAAGAAGCCCGACTCGGTGCCTGGCGTGCCTGACTTGGTCAAGTCCGTGCCTGCTACGGTGGCTCCAGACACGACCGTCGCGCCTGCGACTACCACCGCCGCCCCCGTCGAATCGACCAAGGTGGCTCCAACCACGACGTCGTTCAAGACGACTGCCGTGGTGCCGGTGGTGACCGTGGTAGTTGGCAGCTCGGCCTCGGAGATTGTGGTCTCGGGTGTGCTGGCCATCGCATCGGTGGTGGTGGCGTTGTCGAGTTAATCGTAGTATTATATATTATCTCAAACCACACTCCCCGATAACCAAATACAAGTACGTTTCGTCTCTTCTTCAAGGGTGTAAATGGTCGCCTATGCATTTCACAATGTATCATCAGCCACATTCGCCATATTAATACTTCCTCTGTTCCAGGTTACTGGTGCGATTTCGAAATTTAGTTTGTTCCAAGTTAGTGGTGACAGACAGACATTTGGCTAATTCGATAGTTTTTGTTCATTTACCGACTTTTCATTGGTGAGAAAGCTTAAAAAACACTCAATTTCGGCAAAATTGTATTTCAATTTCCAATCAATGAAGATATCACATGCCAAATTTGAGTAAGAATTGGCTTTTGGGGGACAGTTCAAAGTCAAATGGCACCAGTAACCTGGAACAGAGGAAGTATTGTTTTGCAGTCGTAAATTGATTTGATCGTTCGTTTCATCAAGGAGTATGCTATGCTACAACAATGCACTTAATTACCTAAAAGTTCATTGTTACAATGCGTTAGCGCTTGTTCGGGTGGTGCACATACGCCCAGTCGCCCGACTCGTCTCGCCGCTTGAGTTCGACCGTGGGCCAGTAATGGTAGTCAGTCTTGAGAGTCACGACTTTGGGCTTGGTGTTGAGGGAAATCGTCTTCATGCGCACGCTGTCGCCATTCCGCAGCCCTTCCACGACCCGAATGAACGCATCTAGCGTCGGCGTCGGCTCGTTGTTGACTTGTACGATCCACATGGTCGCGCGGAGGCCGTACTTGTGGGCCGGGCTGCCATAGCACCATCGGGAGCAGTACACGCCCCCGCCTTCCTCGGGCATGTACCCGAGACTCACGACGGCGTAATGCGGTTCCTGGATCACGAGGCCGCACCACACAATCACGCGGCTCGTGCCAGTGCCCGACAGCTCGAGCGTTTCGACTGTCAGCGCCAGCTCTTGGTGCTCCCGCAGCACCATCACACGCACCTGGGTCTTTCCAAAGCACAGCTTCTCCACGTCAAAGTCCTTGGCCACGACCACGCCATCGATCGATAGCAGCAGGTCCCCGCTCTGCAACTGCGCGTACGCGTTCGTACCCGCCGCGCACCGCTTGATTGCTAGCACTTGGCGCTTGTCGTCGTAGCATTGCTCGAGCGTCCGGATCCAGTGTGGCGACAGACCCAGGCCGGCTCGGGCCTTGGACAGCGGGTACGCGTACAGCTGCACGGGCAGTACGGCCACGGTGCGCGGGCTGTGGCCGGCTTGGAAGGCGGCGACGACCTCCCGGACAACGTCGGCCGCGATGCCCCGAAATACCTCGCGGCGGCCGCTTTCGTCCTGGTAGCTGAACGACAGCCACAGCGCCGTGACGAGGCCGGCGGCGTCCACAAAGATCCCCCCGACGCTCTTGGTGATGCGGTCGAAGTGCAGCACCTCGACGTTGCTGGCTTTGTACCGAGGCGGTTGAAAGTCCCGCAGTACGAGGCGGTCGATTTTCGTCACGAGCGACTTCATCGCGACGACGGTCCACGTGCTCGTGAGCCCGACAAAGTCGGCTTGATCGCCGACGTGGAGCACTTCGTTGGACAGGCGCGCGCTCTCCAAGTGCGTGTCCCCCAACAGCGCCGGGTTGTACTGGATGATGGCGAAGTTGTGGATTGGGTGCACGAACCGGATCTTGGCCGAGATTTCAATCGACGCCGCCACCGTCACGACGACATCTCCGAGGGCGATGGGCACCGTGTTTTGATCCACGAGCACGAGGCCGGCAGCGGCGTCGATGACGATGCCCACGCCGTTGTAGCTGGAGCTCGAGATGCCGTCAATCATGTGTGGGATGTCAAATGCCACCATGACCAGCGACGACAGCAGCCGCGTCAGCATGTGCTTGTCCACTTCGGTCCCTGTACCCGCCACACGGAGCGGCGCGGCCGGAAATGCAGGGATGGCGGGGACGTCGGCCAGCGGCGGCAGCGGGTACTCGTGGCAGTGCCACAGCCCATCCGAATCATTGCGCGTGTACAGCTGCATGGGGAACCACTGGCGGTCGATCGTCAGCACGGCGCTGCGGACGCGGTGGCGGTCCCGCGTGAGGAAGTACCGCATGACGGTGCGGTGGCCATTGGGCATCTCTTGGATCGTGCTGATAAATGCGTCCAAGCTGGGCGTGGGTTTGTTGTCCAGGGACACGATGATACACGGCTGCGCCACGTGCGCCTTCATGAGCATGTGGCCGGCTTGCGCGAGGTAGACGGCGCCCACCGCCAACGATCCGTTCCGCGCCTGTTGGTACGACAACGAGTGGATGATGCACCCGCCGACTTCAAGGAACCGGCTCGGGGTGATCGCATGCAAATCCTACCATGGGGTCATCAAACTATAGACATGCAAATGTAGTCGTACTTGCACACGCAATTGGACGGTCACGGGGGTTCCGCCCCGTCGAATGTCGACGACGATGTCGTTCCCAACGTTGGCATCCAGCGTGTCCTCCAGCGCGAGAAATGTGGTTTCGGGCGTCCCTTGGATGTGCGTGAGTACGTCCCCCGCTTCCAGTTGGCCGAACCCCGGGCCTTGAGGCAGCACTTGATCCACTGTTAGCAATCCCGTTTCAAGGGGAAATCGCGTGCGGAATTCGGTCTCGACGTCCGCCGGGAGCCCCAGTTTGCGCACTTCGTCGTACGCAGCATGACGGAAGATTGTCTGCCACGTGCCTCGGGGAATGGTCAGGCCGCTTTGGATGCACCGCAGAGCTCGAACGGCGCGGTCCAGCGGGAGGTAGTAGGACGACGCCGACCGCTTGGCCCCGCCGGCGTTGAGTGCGATGGCGGCGCCTTCAATGTTGAGCACAGGCGAGCCACTGGATCCCCCGCTTGTGGACGATGCCGCTGCGTAGTAGAACGTATTGAAGTCGTTGTACCCGCTGCTGCCGTAGTTTGGGGCTTCCCGATCCAGTTTGGCGAGAATGCCAGGAAGGATCGAGAGCTTTTCGCCGGCGTCATTGCCCACCACTCGGATTTCGACTCCGACTTTGGCCCCGCTGGGATCGATGGGGATTTCGTGCAGTGTGAGGAACTTGACGCGCGAAGGATCGAAGCGGTAGAAGCCAAAATCGTGCACGGGGTCGCGATAGATCGGGACGAGGTCGACCTCTTCTTTGTTGACAAAGATGGCATCTGCAACCACAGGACCGGGCGTGACCACGTGACGGTTGGTCAAGATGAGTCCGCGCTTCTTGTCCACAACAAAACCAGTCGCCACGGAGAAGGAAGCGGCGTCACCGTCAAAAGCCCGAACTGACATGAGTCGAATGATCACGATGGCGGGAATGGCTCCCTCCAGGGATGACAGCCATCGCCCTCCTTCTGGAATGGATGATAAGACAGGTTCAGCAGGCCCGTGTTGAGGTTGGTCGTCGTCCTTTTCCTCGATCTCCTGCATCGGACCGTTGTCCACCTCCTCCATTGTGATTGAGTTTGCTCGTAGGATGGATGCACTTTTCCACCGCAAGCGATGTTGACCAAATCAGGCCATGGGGGGTGCTGTCCAAACCATATAAAATTATGGAATAGTATTCGTCATAAAAGGTGGCTGTTTGTATCAATAATAATCATCCTGGAAAATCCATTTGACTCCACGAATTAAACACATAGGACCCCCCACGAATCAAACAAGGATGCAAATTGAAGCATTTCCTCGTGCCGTCAACAGACACCCCGCCAAACATTGCGATGCCATGATGATTCTGGCTATCCACTTCTCCACTTCTGGTGTTGACATGACTTGCGGCGGTGACGTCAGGATTGGGTTGAGTGCTGAAGCTTCATATGTACGATACCACTACCAGTAGAGCGCCAGACTGACGCTACAATGCTAACTAGTCAATGTTCGAAGCACATTGAAAGGATGGAGGAGATCGATCAATTGGGGCTGCGTTGCCTGTCTGAAAGCGAAACCACTCCATGATATAAACGTTCAAGAAATTTCGAATGGCGGTGACCAACGACGATGTGGGGGCAATGAACATGCATATCAGGGGGGTGGGGGGGGTTGAGCGCTGCAATGCTAGAAGTGTAAAGTGAAAATATGGCTGCCAAGTGCACAACGCAGTCGCACCTCACGACGTTGATGAAACACGATTCTGCATTGCGCATGCAGTCAAGAAAGACGAGTTTCAAGGAAGGATTTCCCAACCACGAGAATACAACATGTAACTTTGCAAGTCTTAACCGTCGTTCATTCGACCCAGCATCATGGAACATTCCATGGACATGTACTTACCGCTCCTTCTGTAGTCGAGCAGTCGATCCTTATGCCGCAAGAATTGAAATATATAAGCTTAACGTTAGCCTATTTCGCCATGTCGCGCAAAGAAAGACCTTTGTCTCGTGGCGCGGTCGCGTAGAAGAATATGCCGCATCTGTGGAGCGAATGCACAAACGAACAGACCAATCAGAACGCGCGATCAGGCCCGTGTCATCGTCGCAACTATCCGGATACCAAACCTATCCGGCGAGAACCCGACGCTGCAATTCGCGTGGTTGAGAACGACGGTATGCCGGATATGACGGTTTATCCGGACAAACATTTGCGGTGCCGGGCGTCGGTGGCAGAACGTTCTTCATGAAACAGACCATGGCTTGCGACTCGTTTCATGTTCCAATACAAATCTCAAGATAAAACACTGAATACGGAGTACCCACCCATAGTGCAAGTTCAACATCAACCCGAGCCCTACCACTGCTTTCGAGAATTTGAATGAACGTTCACTTGGCCGGACAAAATTAAACAGGAGGTTTGTATACTGTCGGCCTATTTTTATTGTAATCCCAGCAATCTCCAACGCTTACAAACCATTTGCAATTTCCAGCTCGGAAGTACAGGTGATCACTAGCGCACGCAGCAGTCGGCTTCAAGCGCATTCTCACTACCCTCACCAACAACCTCTCAGTCACGACGACCGCCGCCGCCACCTCCAAGATTCCTGTCTTCATGTGCTGCGTTCCCCGTATGTCTTCGTCCAAAGTAATGTCCATTCCGTCCCTCTGTCACGGGGTCGAGCCTGTTGTCATCCCTGCGGTCCGTGGTCCGATGCTGTCCCACGACCTAAAGAAGCGTGAACTGGTCAAGAAAGTCACGTCTGTACGCAAAGGCTTGCTCCACTTCCAGCAATGCCACGACAGCCACCGCTGCGACAAAGCGCTGTGCAAGTCCACGCGGCGTCTCGTTGACCAGTATCGCACCCACGCGTGCGTCTCCCGTAGTACCAATAGTCTTAGCCCCTCGAATAGCCCAAATAGTCCGTCGTTAGAGCCCCCCACAAGTCCGCACAAGTGCCAAGTGTGCATGCTGTGGACGTTAGTCACAGGCAACCCAAACATCATCGTGTAGGCCAGTCCGCCACCATGGATTGGCTCCAGAAATAACCTTATCTTAATTAACTACAACCCCAACTCGACGAACCTAGCCACAACGCGTATGAATCGATCGTCATGTTCACATCACAGTACCGTTGATGTTGGTGTTCCGTGAGTGCCGTCAACATATCTTGAAACTTCTTGTCGTCGTGGAAATAGAGCAATGCATCTTGCAGGGCTTCGACAGTGACGTTGTACTTGAGAGCAATCCGTTCCGTGGTGGCTTGCGAGGCGTCCAAGTAGAGCTTGGCGAGGCGTTGGCGCACAGCTGGAGCTTGCAGGTCCGCTTCGTCGTGCTTTAACGTGGCCACAATCAGCTCCATGTCTCGTGTCAAGGAAGGAATCAAAGCATTGGCGATTTGAACAACCACGTCACGAGGAATGGGCGAGGCGCTGGGCTTGGGGCGGCGCTGGGGGCTCAGCCGTCCTCGGATGGGGTCGCGGGACCCGGTGCACTCCCACCGCAAGCGGCCAAGCTTTCGAATGTATTCTTGGATGGTTTCTGCCTCTTCGTCTCGGAGCTTCAGTTTCTACACATGCGAACGTCAGTGGGCTGGTCGGACCATCGAGGACGACGTACCCCCGACTCCATGCGTTGCATCGCGGCGGCCACTTGGTCCTTGGTGACGTAGTGGTTGCGAAACACCGAGTCCTGCACTTGACTGAGCAACGTTTCGAACGAATCGCTCATTTGAATCGCGCGCTGCTCGACGCTCAACCGGTCCGCCTCGTCTTTCTCGTGTTCCAGATCGATGTCATGAGCCAGTGCTTCCATGAGCTTTTGGGCCAGGATGCGCATGTTGGCGTCCACTTGTTCGTACAAAGCAATCACTTCCTCCACGCTCAAGTCACGGTTGTTGTCGTCGCACAACGATACAGCAGACACACCTGCACACATCAACAAACATGTGGCTGCCGCCACTGCACGACCTTCCACAGGTCGCGCGGCGGCCATGGAGGCAGTTGACATCGAATGAGTTGCAAAGCTTAAATGGGGAGCACGTCGATAGACGTTTCTTGTCGCAGCATGCACGCCTGGTGTGCGCAGAATGCGACGGAACATTTCACTCGTGCTGCGTGGTGGGCGCTACGTTTGGTGGAGTTGCCTCGTCGCATGCGAACCGCCATCAAGTCATTCTTGATAGTCCCCCCATAATTTGATCATTTTGGTCACCCAAAAACGGCAAATTCAAATGACCGTGACAAACCATTACTACGTACTGTACTTATTATTCAGTTGCATTCCCAAAGGATGATGGTATTATAACGTTACACTGTATTAATAACGTTAGTATAATACCAAAATGCAACAATGTCTGCAACGCCTGTGGCCCAACTCTAGGCCACTATAACATAGACCAAACGGCCTACGCGAGGCCGCCCCCCTTCTCATGGTGTGTACCGGTCCTTGTGCGCAAATGGAAGTCGAGGGTGTGTGTGTGCATGGGCGTGTCATGTACAAAGCGTTATGGCCACAAAGGTACCAGGCATCCAACATATCGTAGCCAACCAGTCCAACTTAAGCGCGAAACATGTTCGAGCCAGCATCTCGGGAGTCGAGTTGGTCGAGGAAGCTACGGAGGACGAGCTTCTCGGCCAACCGAACGTTCACACAAGCCGCATGCCAAGGCTCCAGCGTCGCATGGTGGAGCCGCAACAGGTCAAAGTCGTCCTATCCATGACAAATTGAACTTTGGACTATTGCAATGCCTTACCTCGGGGGACGACGGGTACTGGGCGAGGCGGGCTTGACACAATTGCTTCACAAGCGCTTGCAGCCGTTGGGAATTGGACTCAAGCCACGGAACGGAGCTCGGATGTGTTTGCCGATGGGTCAATTCGTCGGCGGTGGCTACGTACAGCCTGAGCCAGTCCCACACGTCCACCTGGTCCGTGGATCCCGCCATGTGGACTGTGAATGGCTAGGCCACGGAGCGACATCAACTCGAGCCCTATATATGAATATGCTATTTCTACCTTAGCCTTTTCCACTGGCCACCCCAACGCGTGCAGCAATCTCAACTTGGTGGCCTTCGACCCGTCCGAATCTGACGACAGCCAGCAGGTCAGTCCCGTTGCCATTGCTTACGAGTACCTGGGAGATCGTGAAACGACACCTTGTCGTGCATCATAACTGGATCCAGCACCCGGGCATGTTCAATGGATGCGAATCCTATATATAATACTACACATTAGATGACAGAACTTAGTACAAGGATGGCTCACCATAATGGCGCAAGTACGTGGCTGGGGTGTGGTGGTCCCCATAGTTGATGTACAGTTGGTCGTTCGGAGCATGCGGAGCCGTGGTGCGGATCACAAATGAATCGTCTTTCTCCACATAAGCATGTTCGCAGGCCGACCTAACCAACAACGTCGTCGGAACAGTGATCGAGGACGGAATGGTGGCGGTGTGGTTGGTTACTTAGCGTGGGAGTGGTTGAACCATTCAAAGTACGGGATCAACGTGAAGGGCTGGTCTTTGCCGGATGTGGCGCGGGACATGAGCACGGACAACGCCCACTGAAAGTCGATGCTGCTCACCATGGGAGCAGTCGACCCAAACAGATCCGTGTGCATCTTACGATACACTTGCCGCCTATATGATTTGTCACACGTGTCGTCATGGCCTCCTCACGTACGCATTGACAATCGTGTGGCGGACGTCACAGTGCCGTAGCTCGTCCAGGCGGCGCTCCGTCCAGTACATGGGCACGTCCAGCACGGGAGGAAGCGAATTCAGGTACACGTCCGAGGCATCACCGACCACGATATGCGTGGCAAGCAGCACCGCATCCGCCATGCGCTGATTATTGCCGCAATAGCTATCCACTCGCTCTACGAAGGCAGGCGCTTGTTGTCGCGCTTCTGCACGCGCAGTGCCCGCCGAGTACTCGCGCCACACGTCGGACGACGCGACAAAGACGACTTCGCCGCTGTCGATGGGTTCGACGGCTTGGATTCCAAGTCCCATGGATGGAAATCGCTTCACTTGAATCTTTGGCGAGATGAAGCTGCCTTTGGCACCGCGGAGAATGCGCACCAAGGACTGCTCCATGTGCCCTACCATGACAGGTTATTCACTGACTGTGAATTAGGGTTCAATATCCTGATTGTGGCCAATTAGGATCCTGCCGTGTTTCAAACCCTTGTCTGCAGGCCTACTACAAATAACGTCCTATATATCATCCTCATCGCTCGAGTATTGGTCGCTGGTTTTGCATGAGGTTTGTGCACGGTACTGTATCGCATTGCCCATCATGTACAGAACATCAACATGAGTTTGCAGTGTTAATTATCACGGCGAAGGAGGAACTTTGCAGTTTTGGAAGAATGATTCACCTACCTACTGTAGTACAGTACCAATTGGTAAATGTAAGATATCGTGAAATAGTCCATGTTATTACTGGCCCGCTTTGGCTTTGGCTTGCACGGGCATGGACACACCGTCCTTGTCCAAAAAGAAGACCGACTTGACCATTTCGTACGTGGCGAAACCGGCGGCGTTGGACGGGAACGCCCGCAGCAGACACGGCGAGTACCCCCGCCACAGCCCCCGCCACCCTTCTTGACGCACAATCGACTTGGCACATGCGATGAAGCCACCGTCCGGACAGAACGTCGACGTAGCATATGACGACGGCTGGCCCAACGGCTGCAGCTGCAATCTGGACTTGATCACGTCCTGAGGGTAGCTCACGGTCCAGCACACGCAGCCCGCAAACCCACCGGCCAACAGCGTTGTGGCCGGGGACACTTTGCCGTTGTCGCCGTCCAATTGCGCGGAAAACACGCGCTGTAACAGCTCGTCTACGTCGTTATTATCGCATTGAATGACGTTATCGCAAGTATGAAAGATGCATTCGTACAAGTGCCGAATTGACCGACGTAGCTCGGGACTTCGCGAACCATCGTGGCCACATGTCCTCGCCAGAGTCCCCGCACGCCTAACGTTACATGAATGATATTAGGACATTTATGTATATATATCGAGAGTCGCACCGTCAATTTGAATGACTTTTTTTACGCAATCTAGCGTGCCGTTGAATTTGATTTCATTCTTGGACGTGTGGATAGCTTCACCCTGGGCTTGCAAGTGGCATTTGACCAATTCGACGGGAGTGACGACGATCGAGTTGACGAACCCAGCCCAGGCCCCCGCCATCATGGCTTCGTGGTTGGTGAGGACGCCCGACGTGTCGTTCAGTCGACGTGTCAAGAGGAAAGCCTTGGCATGTTCGTATGCGCTGAACACGACGGCGTTCACGAGGGGCACGGTTGTCATAGGGGACACCATGCCCTTGTATAACCCCCAAAAACCTTCCTTTTGCACGGTCTGCATCACACAATCCATCGGTCCTTTGAACGGCGCCGACGGACAATTCATCTGCAAACGGACCTTGACCGTGTCAAACTACAGAAGCCCACGTGAGTCGCGTAGAGGAGTGGTGGTCGAACGAGCATGTCGTACGGGATGGCCAACCACTACGACATTCAATCACATGAGCAAGAGACAACATGACTTGGTTGGAACCTGTGGATGACACGCCAGCACACGACCCTGCGATAAAGTCACGAAGAGGTGAAAGCTCCGTGGGGTCTGGTACTTCCTCGAATGTTTCCATCTTCCTGTCATCATAATAGTGGTTGTGTCGAGGACACCACATCAAATGGTGGTCGGGATGGTCGTGGTGTGTGACAGAGACTGGGGTATGGTGGTGCTGAAGTGATGGTACTGCCCCCTCGCCCGTTGCCTCCGCCTGCTTGGAGTTCGACATCTCGTGGGAAATGGCGACTTGCCTGGCTAAACTTGCAAACTGATACCCTAAATAGCCTTCCGTAAGGCTTTTTCAGTTCTATTATGGCTTTTGACATGGGTTCAAGTTGAAGTTGAGGGTTGTGTTGGGGTACCACATGGTCAAAATGTACTGAAATCCGGTAAAATTTCATGACGAAAAGGACATTTCGTCAAAATATACTCCGAGTAAAGTATCGTTATTTCACCTTTTTGGATGAATGGGTCAATTGCGGAACAAATGGTTGAAGTCGGGTACCAAAATATAAATATAATACCCTAAATAGGACATTCCTATCAAAATACATGTGAGCCATAAAATAACTTAGCTGGTAGTATCCTCAATTGACTACTGGTACAGTAATACTGGTACGTACTACGTAGTACTAAGTATTAATAATAAGTACACAGTTGACCGTAAATTAATTCTGAATCTGTATTCAGAATTAGAGTGGATTCAGAATTAGTGTGGTCCTCAGTATGTGTGATGGAATTCCAGAAAATTGTGGTTGGTAATTAGTGCGGATCAATTTCGTGCAATATTGAGTGTTTGGGTATGCCACGATGCCCAATTGCTCTTCACGATGCCCAATTGCTCTGGTAGTCGTAAAAAGCCATCAAGTATAGTGTAATAACCCTAAGTAGTACAATATGTGCCTGCACTATTGACCGTTTACATCAATGCCGATTTGTGATGTGACTTTTCATGACACAATCCCACATACAAAAATCAAGATAATAATCCTTACTAATAATTCTCAATAACGTTATTCAAAATTGGTGCGGTCCGCACTAATTCTCCAAGCCCATAATTAGTGCGGTTCGTACTAATTAAGGTAAGCTTAGTACGGTCAACGGTGCACTTCGAATTATTTATATGGATTTCAAATATCTGTGATAGTATCATGTGTCTCCAAACGTCATCCAACATTAATATTAGGTCATATCCTAATTAGTAGAGATGAGAGTAAACTAGGATAATGCTAGTTCATTGCATACAAGCCTCGTCCCGGAGCCCCACGGCCTACGGCCTACCTGCCGCTGCCCGACAAGAAGAAAAGATAGATCATTCGGTCAAGTGAGAAGCTTAGATCCGCGCTCTCGTACGGCCGCGCTTGCGCAGACGGCCTCCCGGGCGCTCGGGGCCAACGTAAGGCTTGGTCACTACTTTAGGTTTCATCCCATAACTTCATCCAATTTCATCCCATGTCATCCCAATGCCATCCACGCTTTTAATTCAACAATTATATTACATATATTAACCGTAGTATCCAAGGTTGGTATTAATATTCAATGCTATTAATACAGTAGTTAGTACGTAATACTGGTATTTATAATAGTAATATACCAGTAAGTAGGATACTACTATTAATAGTACTAGCAGGTAATCCATCAATATTGTGAACGGTTGTCATTATATCCAATCCAATGGCTTCATTCTGATTATATTCAGCCAAAGGATCAGGATACCACCTTGAAGTTCAAAATTATCTTCATTTTTATGTTGTCCAATACAAATTTCAACTTGTATCTTATTATAATGCCTACAAATTTAATGTAGAATTGAGTTCATTTATAAATTAAAACGCGTCACGACACCCAGGTATATTATTTTGTAAATTAATATTCCATACATACAAAACTAAGATATTACCGTACGACCGTTCGCGAAATACAAAGCCAAAGAAGTTTCACCAATTCTTAACGTTACGTTATAATTTCATAATACAAATCGATTATTGGGATATTTCAGGCACTTCTTGGCACTAAAAAATGCAGCTGGATTTATATTTTCCAACACTACCTTTAGTTTTTTTTATTCGAGGGACTTTTTGTGGTGGATTATGGCAGAACTTCATGGCAGCATACTGGTAGATTTTTAAGTTGCTTCAAACATTTGACATTTTTGTGCACAAAAAGCGTTCGCGATATTGATGGACTATACTCGGGACACTCACACAATCGTAAATTGGATGGTTTGGTATGGTAACGTTACGTTGCAATATCCCCCTGAGCACAGTGTACTCCTAGTACTACTAAGCATTGATGAACGAGTATGGTCAGCCTGGGAAATGAAACGGGCTTCGTCGTCGTGTCGAAGACATACAGAGGGAACCTTGTCTGAAGACAATGATTTATGGGGGTTTATGCGGATGATGACCCACTTGGAATTGAGTAACCGGATGTGTACCAATCCGTGGCTCGGTTGTGGCAACATGATGTTTCCACTTCAGAATCGTTGAAAACCTTGAGCACATGGACGACATCCCAGCCACCACCTTCTTGGTGGCCGGCCGCCCTTCTGCCGTATCGGCGGTGACAGACGGCCTCAAGATCGTCGTCCCTTCAAAGCCCCTCCTCAACACTTTGCTGAAGTGGGACGATGTGTTGGGCGCCAACAACTCGCAAAATCCAACCACGGTGACAGTGCACACACTCGGAAAGGCTAGCAACGGCAAGCGATATGCGAACATCGTGGCGCTAGTTGCGACCAAGAACGATGGGCAGCAAGAGGTCGAGCGCTGGGTCCAAATCATCACGTTCTTTGCCGACCCGACTCGCGCCAAGGCGACCGTTCTTCCGTGTTTGAACGATGTGTTGCTGACTCGAACCAAACCTCGGGTATGATGCCCCATGTCAGTGCTTGTCGTATTTATGTAGTCATTGGGTCGAATAGAGGTACATGGTGATCGTCAACCCCGCCTCGGGACAAAGTACGTCATCGTCGCGTCGGTTGTCGTCGTGCTCACGTTCCCTAGGCAAAGGCGTGAAGTTGTTTCAAAAAGTCGAAGCTTTGTTTGCCCACGCCAACATCCACGTGACCAAGGTGCTTACGGAGCGCGCGGCGCACGCGACGGAGCTTGCGACTGCCATCGACCACACTCAGTATGACGCGCTGGTCATCGTCGGCGGCGACGGCGTCATCTACGAAGGTGGCCCAATCAACCCTCCATCTTGCGTTCTTCAATCTAATACGCTTATAGTCGTACAAGGTCTCATGCAACGCCCAGACTGGGCCGACGTCATCCAAATCCCGCTGGCGGTAGGTTACCCCAACCGACCCCTCGTCGTTCCACGTCACCAATAATGAATGCTCTTGTACACTGTAGATTTTACCGGCGGGGGGCGGCAATGGCCTTGCAAAATCACTCACTGAATCGTCGGGCGAAGTGTACAGCTTTGAGAATTGCGCGTACTTGGCCATCAAGGGCCAGCCGCAGCCCCTCGACTTGGCCACACTCCGTACGTTCGTCCATGCTCCGTTATTGGACTTGTGAAGCGTTCTCATTCTGCGACGACAGGAAGCAAGACCGCCACCAAGTTCATCTTTCTGTCGCTGAGCTGGGCGTTCTTGGCCGAAATGGACTTTGAGTCGGAAAAGTACAGGTTTGCTGGTGCCCAGCGCTTTACGATTTCGTCGTTGGGCAAGATCCTGTCGGGCAAAAACTGGTCCGGGTCCTTCTCGTACGTGGAACCCACTGCGGACGAAGTCGTGCCAACGTACTGGGCCGACGGACACGACGACGGAAGGGCGGCGCCCAAGTTGACGCTGCTGCCGCCATCCGCGGAAGATCCCAAGCCCGAGACGTGGAAGACGATTGAAGGCAACTTTAGCTTGTTTTGGGCCATGAACGCCGCGTGGGCCGGCACGAACGGCCTCGTGGCGCCGTCGGCCGAGTTTGACGACGGGTACATGCACGTGGTCATCATGCCTGGTAAAGTGAGCATGGCAGAGTACATGGGCGTGTTCTTGACCCTTGACAGTGGCCGCCACGTGGACAAGCCAACGGTGCAAGTGATCAAGACGAGGTACACCCACCGATGACGTGAGTGGAAGTGCTGATGATGCTCGTTGAACAGGGCATTTGAAGTCAAAGCGCCAGAATCCGATATCATGATGGCAGATGGGGAGCGTATTGATGGAGGCTTCTGCCAGGTATGTTCTACTTCATCCATAGCCTCAGCGGGTGACGGCCATGCTTGCAGGTGGAAGTCCATCGAGCGTTGGGTCGCGTCATGGCGATTCGCAAGTGAAATCAAAGAGTCCCCCATTCGATATTAATAAAATAGTAGAAATGTCTACTTGCGTTTAGTATGCTCGAAATAAAACACACACGGCTAAAATAATATCGTGGTCAGCCAATGGCCGGAGGTTTTGAATTCTTTTTTGGCATGGCAACGAAGGCACCGGCACGTTGGCGACGACACACGTTGGTGCTCGCATCTGTGCTAGCAGCATGCACTCTTGCCAGTGACATCGCCGACACCAGCCCAATAACGACCACATCTGTAGTTGTCTCGACTCCCACTCCTTCACTTGTGGCGGACGCGGAGGACGACGATGGGTTGGAAGGCCAACACTTTGCAGATGACGACGACGACTTCGTCACGCCCAAGCCAGCATCCAACGACACGACAAACGACGCATTCGATATGCCTGTGCCACCTCCCGTAGCCCCCCCTACTGTACCTCCTACGACTTCCACACCAAACGAAGGTGGAGGCCCATTGCTTCCACCTGTGCTCGTTCCTAGCGACCCATCAAGCCACCCGCGTTCGGATCATCCAACATCTCCAGCCAGTGTGAACACCACAAATGATCCAGCGACAAACGGCTCTGATATCACGATTGCGGCACCGACAACCAGTCCACTAACTACATCGCCGCCGAGCCCGCCAACAACTACGGCACCGACGACGGCAGCTCCGGCCGCTACGGCCGCGCCAACCACCACTCTACCAGCCACAACCTCTGAACCGACTACTTCTTCGCCTCCGACCACCACTGCCGCTCCTATAACCACTGTCGCTCCTATCACCACTGCCGCTCCTATCACCACTGCCGCTCCTATCACCACGATCACGACTACACCAAGTGATGCCCCAGTCACGACAGCCGCCCCTTTGGTCGACTCCCCTGGCGAGAATGAACCTACAACTAAGCCAGTGAAGCATCCGTCGAACGACTTGGCCAAAGGCGGCCGCCACGGTCCGTCCATGACGTCGTACACGGCGCTCGCGTTTGTGGGGTGTTCCCTCGCGTGCGTCTTCATCGTGCTGCGCCGGCGCCAAGGTCGAGCCGCCAGCACCTCCGGTGCCTCCACAGGCCGACCGTCGAGCAGCGGCAACTACGCCAAGTAACACCACCTACTAGCTCGTAGTTGCGATGACTCTTATCATCATGTGTTGTAGGCTGAACAACCCCCACGACCCCGTGGACGACGACGACTTGGACTGGCAGGACGACCCAGAGTTGGGTAGCAGAAGCAACGCGATGGCCGCCCGGAAGCGGCTGTCGCCAGACTTCAACCCATTCTCCCGCAACCAGCCGGTGCCGTCGACGCCCAAAGTGGTGCCTCCCCTCTCGGCCTCGCCGTCCACCCCGCCTCCTTCGGAGCCCCGCGTGCTGCCACGACTGCACGAACCCATCAACCCATTCGCTGTCAACCACGATGTGTTCAGTGTATGTACGGCCATCGATCGAGTAGTAATCTCTAGTATGCTTACCTCATATACAAAGGAATTCAACATGGTGCCGCAAGTGAAAGCATCCGCGCAGCCGCCACCCCTGATCCTGCCGCCCCCTTCGAAACGTCCGCCGACGACCGCCTTCCCGCCCCCGCCGGCTTCCCACAGCGCCATCTTCTCCATGGAAATGGACGATCAAGTAAGTACCCATGGTATTCCTCATTCTAGGGATTGAACGGAATCTCCATAGGCGGAGGGCGACGCCACGGGCTGGGACGAGGACGATTGGACTCACTAAGCTCCAATGAGAGCACACATAAGACGATTAAGTGTATATTTCTGATAGATAACGTTATGCCAAATATGTGCAATCTTTCTTGACGATATATGATGTTTCAGTAATCCTGAATGTGAGAGCTGCATCCCCAGATTCCTCGTTCCAGGTATGACTTATGAGTGAGTATATGCATATAAAGGGTTGAATAGTCGAGTGCGGCGCCGACTCAAGGCCAGCAGGCGTTTTTCAGGTCTTCCCAACAAAGTACTCTGTCGGCATAACAACATTTGAAACCAGTTTATTAGCTCTACACTTTGGACACAAGATATTTATGACACTACTGGTCACCGTATCGCAGGTCCTTGTCGCACGTGGCTTTGAGCTGCTGGTTCGACAGAACTCGTAGGCGGCCGACATGTCCTTGAACAGTTCGCCGTCTTGTGTGGTTTTGGCTTTGTCTACATATCCGAGTTAGAACACGCGATAAGAAACCCAAGCACCTGGATGGTACAGAAGGGCCAGCTTCCGGTACGACTTTTTGATCTCCGCATGGGTCGCGGTGCTGGGCACTCGCAGCACTTGGTAATGAGTTAGTGGCGGGACATAGGGCGGCCTTGGCGGGGCTTGTTCATAGGGGTCCCCTGCATGCTTGTGTGCCTTGCTCCTGTGCCGTGCCTTGGGTCTTCGTTGGTGCGACGAATAATAAAAGTCGTCGTCCCAGCCATTCCGACGACGATACTTGGATCTGTCCCAGTCCTTCTGGACTTGGTCGCGCTCTCTACGAACGTGTCGCAGGTCGTCGGGGGCCACCTTGGCTTTGGCCATGTACTCGTCAAAATCTGCCACGCTTTTCCTTGTAATGATTCTGGGTGTAGTAGCATCTCGCCCGTCGAAGGAGGACCCTAAACCCCACAAAGAGCAACTTGAAAACCATTCTAGTAAGATGATTTCGTACTTGAAGTACACGGGGTGGTATTGTAAGGCTGCGTTGCAGTCTTGGACGGCCTTGTCGTACTGATTGAGTGCCATGTACGCCGCAGCTCGGTTGCCAAGGATCGACGCATTGTACCTGCGGTGGTTGTCGTCCAACGAATACGCCTTGGTGTAGAGCAACTCGGCTCTGCTGTAGTCTCCACACTTGCAGGTCTGCCATCAACTCCCACTTACGCTCATGATGTCGACACTGGTCGGCGCGGCTCAAAGCAGTTGCTGCAACACTTCGAGAGCTTTCTCCGTCTACAACAACCCATGGGGGCTTGTCAAGCACACATCTGCTGTAGAGGCAACGCCCGACAATACAGCACGGCCATTTCAATGCCAGTGACGTTACTACACCCGACGCGCCATTTCGAACCAGCCCTGTGCAGTACTCCTCCGCCTTGTCGAATTCACTACAACACATGTTAGAAATATACTCGATGGGATCCGCTTTGTAGCCAACCATATATTCCCGTACCACAAGGTCAAGAGCAACGTGACTTTCTGCACACGGAGCTCCCGACTAGTCATGGTGATCGGGGGGGCCCACCTTGGTGTCGTTGGCAATTATGTATCGGTTGAATTGCCGAAGGAGTGGCTCGAGCGACCGGACGGCGAGGAGCCCTTCTTGCGACAGCGCTTGGTACTTGTCCAGCTGCGGGCGGTGGCGGGATGGGTCCAGGTCGCGCAGCATCACGTCCACGTGCCGGTACGTCTTCGACCTTGCCCAAGAGAAGGCAGCACTTGGCCACACGTAAATGCGCCTGCAACCCACCACCAGTTAGAACCCCATGTCACAGATACACATGTCAGTTCGACAGCGATGGTTTGTACGGCCGAGTTCGATGGACTCGATGCCACCCTGTAATGCTTCTTTTACCTTACACGCCATCGACAACTAGGATGTCTTTTGCTATCTGCAGTTGTGGTCGACACGACTTTTGCAGCTCCTTCGCCAGTGTGTCGGAACTTCATGTGCGCCATCTTGATGTGGACGTGCGGCTTGACAATGCTTGGCCCCGTTGGATTGTGATGTACCGATGTAATACGTCGAGCAAATTCGCGCTGCATTGGCATCCATTGGCATATCTACATGTGTGTGATACCTTGATTTGGAATCACTACGTCGTACGTACTGTGCACGGAGAGGGCGGTCATGGCGCGACCTGTGTGCAGCGAAAGCGATTGATGTGACGATGCGTTGACTGGGAGACAAATATCAGTACGAGGAGAGTAGATAGTTTATTCTATTCATAGTCTGAATACTGCATACATATATATAGTACTACGTAGTATGTACGAACTGTGTTGCGTAGTACTACGTAGTAGTAGTTAGTACATTCTGGTTTTGCCCAACTTAGCCGAATCAAACGTTTGGATTGGCAGAAACTCTGTTAATCCATCTTCTAGTTACAGTATTAATAAGGGCCCGTCTGGAAACTTTTCAAAAATAATATTCCATTTTTTGGCAAAATGGGATAAACCAAAAATGCTATTTTCAAAATGGAGGTAAATGGAGGTAAATGGTCCATTTTGTAATAATGTACTACGTAGTATGGCATTTTAAACCTCTTCGACGAGTAAATCCCACGTGGAATTATTGGATTTGGGCTTTATACTCTTCAAGACAAGTTTCAATTTTGATCAAATTTGTTGAATTCGGCCCCAAAATGGCGTTTTGGGCCAGAATATTGTAGTATTTCGGGTTGCCAGACGGGCCCTAAGACATTCGATGCTGCTGACGGCTCCAGTTTCGAATCAATTTGACAATATACAAATGACCTTCGATATGCACCATTGACGAAGCACATTGGATTCGGGCTAACTTAGCTGGCCACAATCGACGATGGTGGCGTCGTGGCCTGGAAGCGGTCGGTCGTTCGACGGGTCCGTGGGAAGGATCTCGATGCGTCGAATCACGTCCATTCCTTGAATTACTTCGCCAAACACGACGTGTTTTCCGTTCAAGTTGAGGCACTTTTCCTTGGTCGTGATGAAAAACTATCAAAAGTGTAATGTCAGTCCCTGGCATTTATGTTCATATATATCGTATACCTGGGACCCGTTAGTGTTTGGTCCCTTGTTCGCCATGGAGAGCAACCCCACGCGGTCGTGCGGCAAGAACGACTCGTCCTTGAAGTACCCCCATGCATTTGCATTGGGGGTGCCGTGGTAGATGCTACATCCGCCCGTGCCATCGCCCTTGGTGATGTCTACAGACTCAATATGCATTTCCATATCCCCATAGGAACAGCATATATATAGTACAGTACCTCCACCTTGGACCATAAAGTGTTTCTTGATCCGGTGAAACTTGGAGCCTTTAAAGTGCAGCGACTTGCCCTATGTATACATCACCAACATGTGGCTGTTAGACATGCCCCACACTTGCATTGACTTGCTTTCTCGCCTGTGCAGAGGCAGCGAAAGTTCTCGGCCGTCATGGGCACCACATCGTGCAGCAGCCGCATGACCACTCGCGACACGGTGGCGTGCAGGGCAATGTCAAAGTACACTTTGACGTGGCTCGCGTTGGTTAGCGGTGGCAAATTCTGAGGTTTGGGGCAGTACTTGGCTTCCAGCTTTTCGAAAAGGAGACTCTCTCGACCGGTATACGATGCCACGAGGTTGCCCACTTCGGCCATCTTGCTAGGGTTGTACTGCCGGTAGAACGCTTCCACTCGTTCTTGGAACGACGACGAAAGCGCATTTGATAACGTTCCATTCTGTAATTGCAAAGCTGGAGCTGACCTTTCGGCGCTGACTGCTGCTGCGGGAGCATGAACTTGGGACTCGAAGTCCTGTCGTTTTGCCCGCCATGCGTTTCGGCTTCGTTCAAAATGCGACGACGGCTTTGGTCCACTCTCGACGGATCCTTGCGGTTCGTTCGACTGCATATTCGACCTGGATGCCTTCCATGTTGCTCGAGAGTAGTTGTAGAAATCTCCGGGCGCTGGCATGGTGGTGTCGTCGCGGGTGTCCATTGGCGAATGTTGAATCTTATTGCGCTTCCTTTTTAGCCAATCAAATCACGCTAACAAGTTGTGTGTTGCACGTGCGCAGTGCATTTTGTAGCAATTGCATGTGGTAATTACAAGTGATATTATCTTTGCGCTTGGGGCAATACGATCGTGTGTGAAGCTTATGCTGATGCATCGTGATTGCTAGTTGAAAACTAATCCAACCCCCGTGGACACGCCCACTGGGCGGGTCTCAATTTATGATATCCCCTTGGGGATTGTCACCACTATCGCACTCTTCCACTCTTAGACCTAGCCTAGACTCTCAACTTGCCTCAATAATGCTCCATCTCAGCCAACAACACCACACACGTTTGGTAGCCGCTTGCATTTTCTACCACAGTACAGTATGTCCTGTGGTTGCAACGGAGAAAGCTGTGACGACATGGCAAGGAGCGTTCAAGATGATAACAACTACTGAAAGTGCAATACTAACGTTAGATTGAATTGGTATGGTGAGATCAGTGAGGTTGACATAGTACTATATAGCACGACAAAGAATCTACGTAAGCAAGAGCGTCTGGATGTCCTCGGTCAAAGTGCCGAGCGACACATCGGCGCTGACAGTCGTCACGACCTTGTTCATCTTGATGCAAAAAGCCACCAACGGCGCGTTTTCGGCGTTGAACGCATCCGTGTGAGCATGCACGGCTTCGATAGTTCCCACTCGCGCCAACAACGTCGCCGGGGACGCCGTGAAGTGCAGCAACTACAGACAGTCGCACATTTAGCACATCAACACCTTCAAAACACCAGGTCGTACCTGGTTCACCGCGCCGACGTGCTCCGTCAGGGCCACAACCTGATCGTGGACGTACGGCATCGTGTTGCCCATCATCCGAGGAAACCCCGTGAGCACGACGCGCGTCGACACGGGTTGTCGCAGCACCTCGGTCTTGACCAAATCCACGGTAATTTCCACGTCCACCAGTCGCCGCTCGGTCCACGCCGCTCGGATACGCTTGGCGCGGTCGCTGAACGGAAATCGCTGCACATGCTTCGCGTGCAGCGTCGGCACATGGACGTACACGCAATTGGACGAGTGGGCCGCTCGCTGGAGGGCGTCGTGGAAGCCGCTGGCTTTGTTGCCCACGGCCAAGATGACATTTGGTCGGAACCATGCTTCGAGGTGGGGGTACACGCGGGTGATGTCCACGTACGTTAATGCTTGAATCGCTCCTCGGGGGGCTGTATCTGTAAAGTACCGCGATAGCTGGCTCAATTGGGGCTCCGGCGCGTTCTTCTTTCTTGCTTTGACTTCTTCGTCGGACGAGTAGTAGTCCTCGTCCGTCAACGCGTGCGGCACGGGCATCACCTTCTTGGTCAAGATGGCCACGTGATCAAAATCGACGCCGATAGCTCGAAACGTTTGGGCCTACTCGAGACTTTATTATTGTCTGTGCAATGGGACAATTTTCGTACCTCCAACAGCGTGCGGGGGAACCCAATGAAGAGCACTTTGCGCAGGTTTCGCTGGCGAAGCATCAGACACACCAACTCGACGAACGACCGATCGTCCATGGGGTGGCCTGGATGGGGCCACAGGGTGTCTACGCTGGCTTCGACGTGGGCGATGGGCAGCACGTGCACGCCCTCGACGTGGAAATGGCGCTGCAGCCGCGATACATCCAGGTCCGACACGTCACCCAGCACCGCGGACGCGGTCAGTTGGCTCAAATGAGCGTGTAAATTGGGACCAGTGAGCGTTACCACCGCGTGCGACAGGGCCAAATGCGTCAGGATGTCGCGCTTGAACGGCGTGGCGGACTCGTGGCTTCGAAGGACCATCGACGGCGACCCAAGGGGGCCAACGGAAATGGCTGTCGTCTACATTTATCCACAGTATCAAGACAGAGGATAAAAAACACGTTGGTGAACCTGCTCCACCGTGGCAGGAAAATCGTCGAGGAAGATGCGGCGGTGGTGAGGATGGAAAGCGAACTTGTGCAGCACGCGCACCACCACGTCGTCCGGAATGGGCTCGTTCGCTTGGACTAATTCGTGGATGTGCACGCCGTCGGCCGACCGAGCGAGGATTTCAGCTCGCAGCGCGTCTTTTGCGCTCAATTTCAAGTAGCCCCGGGCCCGCGCGGTGGCCAGGATGGTGGCGTCGTCTCCCCCACTTTCAATGCCTTCGTCGATGGAAAAGGCCACCGTTGGTGCGAGCACCGGCTGCAGAATCGACTGCAAGTGCGTCGACTCGGCGGGGCCATCCACCCACACTGGAACGACATGACCCAGGGCATGGCCGCGCCATTCAAGCGACGTCAAGTTCGTGTTGCGCCACAGGGGATTGGGCTCGATATTGATCAGTTGCGTGGGGGGGAAGCACCGAGTGGTGGTGTCCACGAGCGACACAAAGCCAGCCGAGAGGAGCGCATGGGGGGGGACGTTGATCGTCACGAACCGGTGGACCGTCGGAGTGATGGCGATGGCTTGGGCTAGCAGCCGCACGATCAGGTCCAGTGGCATCGTTTCCTTCGTCCGAGCCATCGTCGAGTACACTCCTGCGTGACCTTTGCTGGCTTCTCGACCGACTTGTTGCTCCACCAGTGCGGAGAAGTCCAAGACGGACCATCGAAAGTGCTGAGCCAAATCATGCCATTGATGGGACGGAATGACGCGGTTCCTGTCGTGGACGAGAAGAATGCGAGGGGAAAAAGCCCCGTGGACGTCGGCTAGAAACATGTGCTGCGTCAGGGCAGTGGCCAAGTGTGGCCGTGGAGGCACGTAGTGGAGCTGGCCAAACTAGAAAACATGATAAGATCCCGTGGCGGGGGTTATAGAATGCAGGAACAAGTATGCTCACTCGGTGAAAGTAGTCGTAGAATTCTCGTTCCCCCGCTGAATGCACAGGGAAGGGCAGTACTTCTGGCACCCCCTCAGTCGCCACGTGATGAGACGGCTGTCTGTCGGGCTCGTCGTCTGCCACAACTGTGATCCATACAAACCCAGCCACATGCTAGTGACATGACTGTCAGTGATTATCAAGTCATTGGATACTACATACGCGTTGAAAGGAGAGGTAAAAGGCCAATTCTGGCGGGCACTTGTCCAGCACGATGCGCTTCGACACACATCGCTTGAACGCTTTGACCAATACCACCATGTCGTCTTCTTGTGTGTCCTTCTACTCTCCCAACGGTGGGTTGTCAGCATCACGCAAAGCTATTGACATTCTCGTGAGGTGAAATACCTTACCTTTTGGAGAAGGACGTCCATGTCCATGTAGTGGTAATTAAAGTCCTTGGCGATTTGCGTGGCGAGCAGCGTTCGATTCGACCCGCGACCAAAGAACCCGACCACATGCAACGCCGCCAAGGGGGGAATTCCCAAATCCGCAGCCTCTTGGCTTCGTCGACTGCGAGGAGGCCCACTTGGGAGGCGGGCGACTACAGCAGTCTCTGGCCTTTCGTTCGTGGCGAAGGTCGCGAGAAACCGACCCAGCCACGCTACGGCCTCCAACCCGTCCAGCTTGGGGTCCTGCTGACAGAGCAGCGTCACTCCCCGCGCCAACGCTTCATGCAGCGTCTTGTCGCGACTCAAGTACTGGATCGGCCTCCCCGCGACCTCCTTGGTGGAAACGGACGCCCCCAGGGGGACGGCGACCGGGGCATGAAAGAGGAGGGAGATTTCCCTGTCAGCGCTGCCACGCGAGTCGCTTCCGTGCGTGGCGTTCTGGGTGCCGTCGATCCCATATTGCCCCCGAATGCTATGGGGGTACTGGTCCTTGGCAGTCTTCGAGTTGGTTGGCCCCATGCACTTTCGCCACGCATACACCGCCTTGACACGGACGAGAATCTTTGGTTTGCACCAACGGATAAGTTAGAGCAATCTCGTTAATGAATCGTATGTACGAACCATAACAACCACGACTTCGCTCGTCATGTACGCCATCAGCTTGTCGTAAAACGCTTTGCCCTACATCATTTGTCATATATTTCTGAACAGCTTATGTGACGGACCTTATGTTCGGCGTAGAATTCCATGGCGTCTTCGCGACTGAAGAGGCGTCGACTTTGCCGGGCGATTCGAAATCCATGCGCCAAAATGATGCTTTGAATGGCTAGGGCATGCAAATTGGCCGTGCCAGGCTTGATAATGGCCAACGTTTGCTCGGGCTACTCGATCGTGTTGGAACTAGTCATGACACTTCAGGAAGTACCTCCAACGCAAAGAAGGCGGGGAACCACTTTTGCATGTATTTGTGGGCCGCCGGAACAGAATGCAACGGAAATACGACGTTGTGGGCCAGCGACACGCCCATTTCCGCTCGAATACTGGTTGGAAAGTACACTTGGGCTTCTACCGGGTCAGCCGACCCCAACAAAAGCTCCAGCTGTGACGACAATATTAAACTAAGGCACCACACAATAACATTTTCATTGTACTTTGGCAGCGATGTCCAGCCCTTCAAGCAAAAATACGACAGAGGTGCCAGTGGTCATGGCCAACTTGAGCTCCGAGTCGTAGGCGGGGTCGTTGGACTCAGCCATGAGCAGCAATTCCTCGTCCGACTCGATAGCCTGCGAAGCATGCAATGCATAAAAATGCAGTGACAAGCATATCAGTTGAACGTACGATTTGTGCGCGATCCATGAGGAAAAAGCCTTCCCGCTATATGTGTTGATTAGAAAAAGTTTGTTCAGGACGCATACCTCAAATCGCACTGATAGCGCATCGACGTAGTTTAATGCTGTGGGTTTAACGATTGCCAACGCCTGCTGCAGCACGGGCGACGCTGTTGGAAAGAGAAGCAGTCTGTCACGAAGGGCACACAACTTGGTTTCGCTCCCGTAGAACGCATTTCGCACGGGAGTAGTCCCGTACACGCCGCGAAGCAAAGGCTTGGGACCCGCCACCGCCTTAGCCTTTGCAGGGTCCATCGGTCCCATCACGACCTTCCAATGCTCTAAGGACGCACGCATATGAACATGACGCCCCAGCAGCAATTGCATGTCGTACCCACGGCGTCGTCGCGGTCTAATTGGAGCGCAATGCAAGGCCCGCTCACCATAAAGTCCAAGACACCTTCCAGCTCAGGGTCTCCCCAAGAATGCCTAGTGCATGCTCAGATGATGACAAGGCAGGTATATGTACTACCTGTATAGTTGCCGCACTTGGGGTTTCGTCAGCTGCAGCGTCCGGCGTTGCTCGATGGTGAACCCTTCCGCCTTGATGCGCTGCATGATGTCGTCGAGGATCGTTCCATTCTTCGATGCATCCCCCTCTCCTGGAGACCGATATCCCGTCGCGCAGTCGGGCTTGATCAGCGCGATCGTCGTCGATTGCGGAGGCGCCATCGCTGCTGGCGACCTTTCGAAGTGCAAGTTCAATTACCGGATAAGCCTTGCTAGTAACCGAAAAACCGTTCAACTTCAGTACTGAATAAGGTAAATATACGAGTGTTGTAGAAGCTGACACTGACGCGTCGGCTTCTACCAAGCCCTGGTACTTTGAAGCCTCAGTGCACTCTTACTGCACTTGGATTCTTGCTACCACTGCTTGCAGTCGCCCATTTTGCGTTGTGTTGTGGTTTTCGCAACTGCTGTTAGGTTCCTTCGATTGCCTTTTGGAAGTACAGTAGTACGCATTATTTGGCCCAATCATCGAGCTTACAGAGTTGTTGTGGGGGGAAAAGTAGCCATGCGTGGTGTTTCATTGGTCGTTTGTGATGGCGCCTGCCGGCGGCGACCGATCTTATGCGACTCCAGACAAGCAACCTCGCGTGCCATGGGTATGTCCTGTGGCGATAGGAAGCCGTGTGCTTGTCTCCGGCGGCAAGAAAGGCGTACTTCGCTTCATGGGACCCACGGACTTCGCCAAAGGGGACTGGGTTGGCGTCGAGCTGGACTGTCCTGAAGAAGGCAAGACCGACGGCTCCGTGAACGGTGTACGGTACTTCACTTGCCAGCCCTTGCATGGCCTATTTACCAAGAAGACACAACTTCAACCACAACCACACGAGGCGACAATCTCTCCGTCTGCACTGGCCCCCCGCCCACCACCACGCCACCAAGTTGGGCGAAAGCGACGTATCACTCGACGAAGTCTGCTCCGGAGAGACACGACGTTTACGTCCGTGCTCTTCAATCCTTCCCTTATGACGACGATCCAGCAGTACCAGTGCGGTCTGTTTGTGGACCTGCAGCCTCGATATGCCGAATGGAAGGCGTTCGTGCAAACCCACTCCAACTTCCGATACAACGTCGCCGCGCCCGTGCGCTACCGATGTTTCTTCGACGACAAGATGCATGTCACGCAAGATTTGTTCCTTCCCGCCGTGTCTGACCATCGGTTCGTGCTGCATGTGGCCATCTTCGAAGGCGATCTGTACGTGGTCCAGCGCTGCATCCGCTGCCACTCCCTTGTGACCCCCCAAGCCCTCACCTGTGCCGCCCGATTCGGTCACTTGCACATTGTCGAGTTCCTCCATCTCAACGCCCAGCATCTTCCTCCATCTGCAGGACACGCCGCCGTCGACGCCGCCGCCAAGCACGGCCACCTTGCCGTGGTTCAATTCTTGATACGTCATCAATACACCAGCAGCCCCCATGCCATGGATGCCGCGGCCAGTCGAGGACATTTGGAAATGGTGACATTTCTCCACACCCACGGCGCCGGCGGGTGCACCCACGTGGCGTTGGACGGTGCGGCGGAACATGGCCATCTGGACGTCGTCGCCTTCTTGCACCACCACCGGTCCGAAGGCGCCACGATCGACGCCATGGACTTTGCGACTCAAAATGGACATCTGGACGTGGTGCAGTTCCTGCATGTCCACCGCACCGAAGGTTGCTCTGCGGACGCGCTCAACTGGGCCGCGGAGGGCGGGCACTTGGAGCTCGTGCACTTTTTACACGACCACCGCCACGAAGGGGCGACGACGGACGCCATGGACGCGGCGGCGCAGCACGGGTACATGGATATTGTCGAGTTTTTGCACGAGAATCGCAGCGAAGGATGCACGAGTGCTGCGATGGACTTGGCGGCGGCCAACGGACACATGGACGTGGTGCAGTTCCTTGTCTCCCGACGGCGGGAAGGATGCTCGGCGGACGCGTTGGTGTGGGCGGCGCAAAATGGCCACTTGGACATGGTCATGTTTCTGTGGATGCATGTCGAACACGTGCGATGCCATGTGGAGGCGGCGCGGCGCGCGGCCAAGCGACACGAGCACAACGCGATTGACCAGTATTTGGAGTTTCAGCAAAGCGAGTTAATGAAACAATGACACGAATATTAGTATTATAACGTGTCGTTGCGTCGGTCAGTGATCAACATGTGGCCTGGGGCGTGGGTGATGGCGAACGCCTACAGGACCAGAAAGCACCAGATGAAGCCACAGCAACGACGGCGACGCGTGTACCGGTTTGCTGGCAAGGAGCACGTTCTGAGGAGTGACTCCGCACGCCCAAAATACGGGAATCTACCAGCATGTGGGGGGTCACAGTTGTGTGAGTGTTTGGTGATTCGTGTATGTACTTCGCCTGGTTGGATGGTCACCGCGTCTCCATATGAAGGTTGGGAAATGTCGGCAATCCCAATAGCTTGAGGATCCCCCACGTGCACAGGACTTGGCTTATTAGTGGAGATATCTACGGACAAACAAAGGTGTACCTTCCATGGACATTGGGGTACCGCGCCGTGATGACGCTGGCTAAAATCGCGTCCTTGGGGGAGAAAGGTCGCATGCTGACGACCAAGTTGCCTATATCCAGCATGAGAGTCTGTCTAGCATGTACCACACTTCAAGCAATCACCTGAAAACACCCCCGCGGGATCGCACGGAAGGTTGGTTTGGTACATGGGCACGTTCTTGCCTTCGTCTTGATGGCGGATGCTCAGCCCCGCCTTGACACATGTCATTCCATCAAACAGCAAGTGTCGATGGACCATACATTTTGAAGCGCATCCTCAAAGCTGAACGAGCAGCCTAGTAAGAACGTCACCAAGTCCTACAACAAATTGTCGTGCTTGACGTGATATTGTGTGATCACGACTGTACTCACGTCACGCCAGTACGGCTTGATGTCGATCACTTCTTCTGTGAGTACGCCGTGCTTGTACACGCGGTACTTAGGCAGATCCGTGCGAATGTCTGAATTGGGGGCGAATCGCCGCATGTCCACGCAACCAGGATCCGACACCTCCTGCTCATGGTGGTCAATGGAAAGGCACATACGTTCGACGAGGGATATACCAAGAGGGGGCAAGGTTTCGGATTGCGCTGACAGAACAACAAGAAGTCGAACGCGTGCTCTTTCGGTAAGATGACTAAATTGGCCTGCAGACATGGGCGGCGCTCACGTGACGAGGAGATATTGGAATCGATCCGCGCGTCCTAGCATCATGACGCACCTGAGCAAATCCCGGACAATACCCCGCCGAATTGGACTGAAAGCTGCCATCGCGGCAACGCAAGCGGAATTGCTCGGGCGTCAAGCTCTTAGCTGGCGGTGTCATCGTCGTTGAAGCTGGCTGTTATGCAGATAATAAACAACATTCATCTATTATGTTTACATCTGAAATGGTTTTGAAAAGATTCATCTATTATTTTTACATGTGAAATTGGGCAATTGGGAGGTTATTTCAAAAATGGATTTCAAATCGTGGAATAAGCATCCGCATGCCACGAAACTGAATATCCGGAATTCCGTCTTCAACTTCGCAATTGGGGCCACGAACAACATGAGCTTGAGCAAACCTATGGCGACCCTTGCGACCGCAACATCCGCTGCCGTGGGAGGATGCACGTCTTCCTTGGCTCTGTATCCATTGGACACGTTGAAGACCAGAATGCAGTCTGAGTCGAAGAAAGATGCAAACGACAAGAAAACGCCGGTCACTTGGGACGTCGGCACCATTTTGTCGCTGTACAAGGGTGTCGAGTACAAAGCCGCGCAGTCGACGATCTCCAAGTTCCTGTACTTCTATGCGTACACTGCCATGTCGAACATGCTCCTGGCGAAAAACTCGACGTCGCTGTCCACGGGCGCGAATTTGGTGGTCGGGTATTTGGCCGAGATGTTCCATTTGCCAATCACCTTGCCACTGGAAGTCGTAATCACTCGCATGCAGACATCCAAGGGAAACGATGGCAAGCACACAGGGTTTGTGCATCTCTTGCAATCGATCTGGGAAGAGAACGGGGGAAAATGGACGGCGTTCTACAAGGGCTTTTCGGCCTACTTTGTGCTGTGCTTGCAACCAGCCATTCAGTTCACCGTGTTCGAGCAAGTGAAGAAGGTGTATTTGAAAGCGTACAAGCCCACCACGAAGTCGTTGTCTGCGATCGAGGTACTCGTCGGTCCCATGGGTACTGGAATGAACATGATGTTTGTGCATATAGGCATTTGTGCTGGGCGCCGCAGCGAGATCGTTGGCCACCCTTGTGGTGTTCCCCTACATTCGAGCCAAGGTCATTGTCCAAGCCAAAGCTAAAGCTGACTCTCATGAAAAGCCCAAGAGCATGCTCGAGATCCTTCAGAACCTCGTCCGCGACGAAGGCTACCCGTCGTTGTACCGCGGTTTGGCCCCCGAGCTGACCAAGGTACGTCGTTCCTTCCATCTGCCTACATGTAAATGTACACATGACACGAATGTGTGCAGGGCGCCCTCTCTTCCGCGTTCATGTTGATGGTGAAGGAAAAGATTGAAGCGTATGTGACGCTGTCGATCATGCTACTCCGCGCCACGAGTTAAAGCAAGTACCCCACTGCATATTAGTCTGTATTAAGAGCACGAAGCTCGTCTACAATGCGACGTTGTGCGTCGGTGTGTCCTAGCTTCATGTACAATTTCGCCTGCGACAGAGTGTCATTCCATGGGTGTCATGGAGGTATAGATACCAGTGTCTTGAGCGTGGTTTTGTCGTGGCCTTCCAATGCCATGGACATCTGGAGCCAAAACTCGGCCTTGTCGTATCGATGCTGTCGAAGGTACGCCTCTCCGAGGCGCGTCATCACATGCGCCTTGTGCACGAGGTTTTCTTGAACGCTTGGCAGATACAGCGCTTGCTTCAGCCTACACCACATACATGAATGTATATACAGCCAACTCAAAAGTGCAAAGTACCATTGAATGGCATGCTGGGGGGAGTTGGCTTTGAAGTGGACGTCGGCCGTTTGCTCGTAAAATGCCAGCAGGGCCGCTGCCACCGCTGCGTCCCCACGCCCCAAGGAGAGGGCATATCCCGCGAATCGTCGGATGTCCTACAAGAATGTCGTAGGTCACAGATACTTGCCGAAATACCAATGTACTACTTCATTCGGATACGAGCAATGGACACTCCACCGCTGGACCAACTCGACAAAGTGCCTCGCGACGGCACCGCGGTTGGTCGAGTCCTTCTGGGCGTCGAGAAAGAGTGCGTCGGCGTTGGCCATTTCGCGCTCAATGTTGGGGGGTATGAAGGGAAAGCGGCGTTGGGCCGCCGATAGCACTTGAATGTCCTTTTCGTTGATGGGCTGCTTCTTCCAAAGGAGCTTCTTCACGCCCGTGATCTTGAGGGTGCCATCGTACAGCTGAAAGAACTCGGTGGGCATGGGCACGTCGTGCATCGTGTCAATCGAGTTGTCTGGCATGTGGAATAGCGGGTAGTACTGGTGCTGCACGAAGATGCCGTTGAACGTGGTCGTGCTCACCAGTTCGTACCCTAACATTACAAGATGATGCTATGTGTGATGCAGTACATCAGGACGTGCCTTTGGCCTTGCCCAACTCGATCAGAGCCGCCAAGGACGAGCCGTGGTACACGGACATGTCCTTGTCTTGGATGAACACGACGTTGTTCGGGATCGACGGGTTGAATTCAATCACGACGACCTTGGGGTGGATCGATCGCAGGCTGTCCCAAATGTGGTAGTCGGCGCCGTCAATGTCAATGGAGATCAAGTCCAAGTTTGACGGAGCGTTGGCGCGTGCGAGGATGGCATCCAGCGACATGGGGCCGTCGAACGAGACAAATGCGTTGATGCACTGGACGCGCGGGTGGTTCGCGTACATGCGGGCCATTTGGTCGCATCGTGGTTTATCCGCTTCGATGAGCACCCCGTGCCAATTCTCTTCGTGCAGCAGCTTCCACGTGTTGGACAAGTGTTTGCCGTCCCAAGCCCCGAACTCCACACACCAACGCGACTCAGGACGCGCTCCAACGGCGGCTTCGTGCTCGCCTATCACGTCAAAGACTCTTTCAATCACGCCATCCTCCCCGCCCTGTGAGGTCACGTTGAACGAGTCCTTGATAAGCCAGTCGTTCACTTTGCGTTGAACGGGCACGTTGCGCCGACACACTGCCATGACGACTTTGAACCAAAAACTGCAGAAAACCAAATCCAGCCAATCACCAGCTACAGTACACATTTAATGTGTAGACCGGTATTAATACAGTATAAGGTATGTAGGCCCGCCTCGCACGATACCGGTAACAACATGCTTGGCATCCCCCTATCAACCCAAGCGGCACATATGAGGAACCTACGATCTGCCCCAACGCTATGTAGTCCTCCTGCCACTTTCACCTTTTCGTTAACGAACCATTCTCAATTGATTTTTGCAATCTCTGCGATTTTTTGACGACGTATATGTACTGCTACATCCACAAGCTAGAACGTACTGGTCATTGTCCATGGCAATCGCTCCTTGTCTGACGAGTTTGCCCTCATGACGGACGATTCCGTTGCGATCTTCGCACGAGGGGTTGCGACCGTGCGCCGTTTCATTGGGTCGTGACTTACATGGCGTTCCGACCAACCAGAATTGGCCAACCAAACACTCAACATTGTCAGAAAGTACGTCGTACGTACACAGTACGTACAGTACATTGGACACTTTAGACTGCAAGAGGTACATGTACATTACACTCGTACACGTACAGCGTACGGGCGTCCGGTGCGAGCGACAGGGTAAGACCGATCTGATTGGCCAAAGCGTTTTGGTGGGGAAATATACTGCGATCTGATTGGCTCCCTTGATTCCGCTAAAATGCCTTCCCAAGATATATTGCGCCAGTCGAAAGGTCAACGTCCAATACCAGCGAGTTGACCTAATCCCTCGAAAGTACTGGCCCCCAGTATTGTATAGATAAAATAAGATAAACAAAGACCTGTTGAAACGATGCGCAGTGAACTTCTGGGTGTAGGAATTGACACGAGAACGTCATCCCGACATGCAAGTCCCTCGGAAGATGAAGGCCAAGAAGAGCGACAAGGACGTGTCCGACGCCAAGCATCACGCCGGGACGATCCAGTTTGAAGCACGACAGGGACGAGAGCGAACAAATTCGGAAGAAACCGCGATGATCCTCTCGAGCATGTGCATGAACAGCAGTTCTGTCCCGTCGGACAAAGCTTCCCTCGAAGAAGGGGCAGGCGCCAAGGTCCACGTCAAGAGAGAGGGAGGCGAAGACGAAGACGAGACTCTTATCAACCCAGGAACGAAGTACATTCCGTCGCTTGCTCGATTCGACGAGGCCGACCGGGCGAAGTACATTTCGTCGTATGCCAAGTTCAAGAACGAAGACGAAGGTGAAGGGTGGAGTTCCGACGGGTCTGAAATCACAAAGCGTCGGTACGTTGCGAATGCCGCGAACCGAATGAAGTACCACGCGACAAAGTTCATCTCGATCGAAGAGCTTCGGGAACACTTCGATCAGCCCATCGTGGAAGTGGCCCGGTTCTTTGGGATTTGCATCACGCTCATGAAAAAAGTGTGTCGTCGCAATGGCATCAAGCGCTGGCCTCATCGGCAAATTCGGTCGTTGACCAAAAGCATCAGCTCCATGGAAGCGGCCATGATGACCACCACCGGTGCCGAGCGCGAAAAGTACGAGGGGCAGATTCAAACGCTCAAGATGAAGCGCGACGCTGTGATTGCCGACCCGAACAAGGAAGTGTCCGTGTCTGTCACCAAGCACGAGTTTAAAGACGAAAAAATGGACGACATGATGCCGAACGACGACAATCTCGACGGGTCCGACAGTTGCGGCAGTCCTCGGCAGGCGGCGCGTTCGTCCGTGGCCAAAGACGACGCGGTGCCGCCGTTTATCCTTCCTGCGACGCGACCCCGCCCCCCGCCGCAGCAATACGAAGCCAAGGGCGGCCGATGGACGTCCCAGGAACATGCAGCATTCCTCGAAGGGATCAAACTGTTTGGCAAGAACTGGCGCCGCGTGGCGCAAGTGGTTGGCACGCGCAACGCCGTGCAAACTCGAACGCATGCGCAAAAGTACTTGCTCAAGACCAGCGCGCACTTGGATTTGCATTTCTCGCTGCTCAATAAAAACGACGGGGACGAAGACGACGACGCCAACCACGCGGCGTTCCTCACGTCGCTGACGACGCATCGAGATCAGGTGGCGCCAACGGCCCCCCCGCCGACTGAAGTGGTCGCCGGCATGGACCGCCTCAGCTCGTTGATGCTCAAAGCGGAATCGATGCACACCCACATGCTGGAGTCGGCCGACACGATTCGATCGCCGTTGGATGCGTTGAACTTCTCGGCGCCGCTGCTCCTGAGCCCCACGAGCTGGAATGGAGCGTCGGACACGCCACATGACCCCCCTGGTGGTGCGCTGGAACCTCCTCTCCGGAAGGTGGTGCTCGGACGAAAGGCGGCCGCCGATGCCTTGGCTGTCGACTCCAAGGACACGAAGAAGCGCAAAGTCGTCGAAAACGACACTGAAAACTTGTCTCCGAACCAAACAAGTGCCGCCGATGTGACGACCGCGGTCCCCACGGAACACTTTGCTTTTCTTGGCTCGTCCACGGATCAGCACAACACAGCGATCACGGACGTTGGTGTGACACCCGACGAGGCGATTGAGGAAGAGCTTGGCGATGCCCCCAAGGTCGACGAACGTGTGCACGAAGGCGGTTCCCCGATGCCAATGCCTTTCGATCAAGTGTCCACCAAAGCACATGAGGACTTGAAGCGTTTCCACGACGAAGGGGGGTCAGAACCACAGCCTGAGGAAGAGCCCAGTGCTCTATCGGACGAGAATTCGTTTGCACACAACACCTTCACGAGCAACGACATGCGCGAGTTTTGCCCACAGATTTAAGCCTAGGAACGTGTATTTATTGCAGTAACCTGTAATATCTGTGAGTCGTGACACACGAGTTGTTGAAGCAATGGGGGACCATGATCGTTGTTGAAGCCATTTAACACAAAGAATCGGACTTTAAACATCTTATCCTCTTCGCGCGCGGCGTCTCACGGATTCTAATGGTGGTGGTGGCCGGCGTTGGGGTTCTTGTTGTCCAACTTGAAATACTTGTTGAATCGCGGCACGTGGTGCACCTTGCCTTCTTCCAAGTTGAACCAGACAATGTAAGGGGAGTCGTTGTGCGAGATACCGACCGCGCGGGTGCTGTTCCACGAAGGGACGAGGATAGGGTCGTCCTTGGAGTTGCCTTGGCTTTCTTCAGACGCGATAGGGTCGCGGTTGAACAACTCAACGCCTTCTTCGGCCAGCTTCAGTTCTTCACCTTGGCGACCCACAGTGATTTGTTCAATGCTGTTGGGCACATCACGAACGATGGAGGAGAAGGCACGGATCGACACCGATCGCTTCGCGACGCTCTTGACGGTGCTCAACATGGTTCCACTAAAAGCTGAAATAGTCACTACCCTTCTGCCAGCCACTGGCGCACCTTGGAAACCTCTAAAATCGCATCTTGTCCTATTAAGTGCGCATTCCAAGCAACGCCCCATGAAACCATAGCAACGTCGCCATATTGGAGACGCACTTAAAATAGTACATACGTAGAACCTTCCAATTTTAATATTGGAAGCTGCATGGCCGTCGCTGATTGGGCCACTGGACCACGTATCTTTACACAAAACCGCAAGAATCGCCCAAAAAAACGACATGCAATCAGGTCCGACGTGCGAGGAAGGAATGGGATGATGATGTTGTCTTGATGGCCACGTTGATCTGAAACCGTGGCTAGATCACATTGGACGTGAACGTACGGTATGAGAGCTACACTTGACCGTCGCAAAGGCCTGTCTACCATGGTGAATGCACATACACTGCAAGCGTGTTGACGCACGCGACTGGAAGAAACGATTGGTATCGATGCTATGTCGAAGCTTCAGTGTTCGTTTACTCTGTCGATGCTTCTTGCCACGACCGTAGGCCATGTAAGACGTGTTTCATGCACGTACTAGTAGTTGCATGTACATGAGGATCAAGATTGAAATGATAAACGTTCATCGGTGGCAGGCGAGGCGATTTCGGCCCATTGGACGACGTGTAAAATCATGGATGGCTGCGCTTGTCGATGTTTAGCTCAGTTTGCATCGAGTGAAACTCTTTACTGATTACCTGTCTACTACGAGTCCTATTCACGCTAACTGCATGCATCCCCACCAGTGCGACGGTCCTAAATTATGAAAAGCGCATTGCTGCGGCAAAGTCGAACGTAAACGTTATACGAAAATACTGGTGCAATGATTGACTTGTTAATGTACTTGTGCACTTCCACGCTTTGCGTACGACATTATGGACCATGTACAAACTGTTACGTTTGCTCCTTTGGCAAAATGAACAAGGCAGTGGCATCGGCATACAAAGTGCCTTCGTTGTCCTCAAGCCTCGCCTTCATAAATAGCTACACCGAGCCGTAAGCCTTTGGATGTCACATGCTGTAGTATGATGTCACTTACTTTTCGCCCTTCGAGTTTGTCGAAGTCGGTGAACACGATTCCAAATATCTCGGCTGGCAGTGGTTTACGAAAATTGACACTCAAATTCGCCGTGAACCCGAGCTTTCCACTTGTCCTACGTTAGTTGTAAGTACTAAGTATAAAATACGTCTGGAACAATATGTGGGAATACGGTACCACATCATTGTCCACCCAAACAATTCGTCAAACACCGTCGAAATGCATCCGCCATGGACTAACTCGAAGCAGACATGAGAGGGTTGACTCGCATGCTGTAATGTGTACCAATGCCAGGATGACCGCACAGTTTGTCGCCAAAGTGAATGACACTTGTCGTGCCCGACTTGTTGGGGTGTCCGTACACTTCAAAGCCTTGGAATTTGCCTGCAATGTTGAGCGAATGGATGTAATGCCCTTCGAGCTGTTCGGCTGGGACTGTCCGAAACAGCAAATCCCTGTGTGATATCGTTAGCATAAACCCACGCACTTCTACATACCTCAAGTTTGTCACGCTCGCGTCTTGTGCCAAGTGGACGACCTTGGAAGGCAAGTCGGCAATTGACAGTCGTTCAAGTGCCTGCACATCATCATCGAAGCTGTAACGACATAGATTACCAACGCTAGTAGGAATGCATACCTGAGCACTATCGTTTTGAGCATCTTTTTGAGTTGGAGCGCACTTGGGAATTGGCGATGCCGAACCAAAGTAGTAATACCCCGCCACGCCCGCGAGGATCACGCCAGCTTCAACCACAGTTCGGAGACTTTGGCCCAACGGTTGGAAATCAACTTGCATGGTATACGTATACTGTACTATTGGTTGGACGTTGTTTTAGGTTATGACATTGCTTGTTGACCAGCGACGAAGAGTCGCCGAAGGATCGCCATCATAAGAGTAGTCACGCAGTGTCATCTAGCGACCCAATCATCGTCGAGCATTCATTCGGATAATGTATCCGGTTGTTTACTCGACAAAGCAAGGTGACCGACATTTGAGACAGGAGCCAATCAAAACGAGTATAGTCTTTCCGTGCAGTCACCCAAATGTTTACGTTGAGGCGTATTTGGCCTTGATTCGGCCTATCCACGACCGTCGATTCTACTCCAACTCGTATAGGTGTACATATACTGTATACACATATCCGACTGTAAATGAGACATATTTACGGTGTGCTTAACGTTACTGTAGTGCTATTTATTCAGTTGGCTTGGGCAAGATAAACAATGTTGTGGCTTCGGCATAGAGGTTGCCATCGTTGTCTTCGAGACGAGACTTCATATACACCTATACACGTCATAACAAAGTTGCATGAGATATGGATGAGTAATACGATATTCCAACCCACCTTTCGACGTTCCCGTTTGTCGAACTTGGTGTAAATGAGGCCAAATGTATCGACGGGTAGGGGCTTTCGAAAGTTCACGTTCAAATTGGCAGTGAAACCCACATCTTCCGTCATCCTAAACCCAAACGTGATGGGGGGATGTTGACAGGCGGTGAAAACAATACCAGAACATCGTCCATCCAAATAGCTCGTCCAGCACAGTCGAGATACATCCGCCATGAACTACATGCGATCATAAGGTCGCATCCCAGGGTTCGTTTGTATACCAATTCCTTCATGGCCGCAAAGTTTCTTGCCAAAGTAAACACTGCTGACGGTTGAATTCTTGTCGGCATGGCCGTACACGTCAAACGCTTCGTACTTCCCAGGAACCGATAGGGAATGGATATAATGCGTATCACTCGATGCCAGGCTGGTGTTGTGAAAGACATCGTCACTAGGTTAATTATGCGTCAAGTCACAGTCACGCCGCTCGCTGAAAGTTTTACCTCATGTTGATGTACTCTGGATCGTTGGACACCCCAATCATTTTTGATGGCAACGGTAATGTGGTACCAGGCGACAGCGTCTCGGCTGAATTCGCTCGGGGTTTCTTTGGAGACGTTGATCCTACGTCGCCGGAGCCGAGGCCGCGCTTCTCCGCCTACGCATGATGGTAACAGCTATGGCACCATAGGTCTGTACATACCGTCATGATTGTGAGTTCGACACGACAAATCCCAAACTGAGATCGTCGGGCCAATCACAATAAAATACGGATAATATCCGGATTTATCGAGTTTTTAAGAATTGAAAAGGCGCGAACCAGAAAGGACATGCATGACCCTGTGGATCACGGTCGTGTCTCCAAGTGAGCATGGATTCATGAGCGGGAACATGCCGCAAGGAAGGAAGTCGCAGCATGAGTCCGACAATAGGTTGAGCCGTTACGTTTGCGGTTGGTGTAACGCAGCGAAACGCTTCGACTTGGAAACCGACAGAAGGTGCGAAGTTGAACATGATGCCCCATGAGCAGCACCACGCTCATGGTGGTCATGGCCGCAGCGAAAAGCCGAGCCCCCTGGATCCAGAGTACTGGCGTGGAATCACCCACTCTGTTGGCGAACCCGTCTCCACCTCCTACGACCAACACTACTATGACACGTATTCTCCGCACTCTGGAATGGCGGTGCACCCCCACCACCATGTAGTCATCAGCCCCATTCCTCATGCACGGCAAGTTTCAAGCGGGGGATTCGACATGCAGGGCAAGTCCATGGATGTCAGCATCTCACAGTCGTTCCATAACCCCCATTATCAGGTAGACAGAAACACACATGTGTGTCAATTTACTCAATACTGTATATGTTCAGGAGGCGCCGCAACTGAGGGAGCAATTACGCCGATGCTTTTCGGCGGTGACAATGGATTTGAGGCAGTTGCTGGGCGCGTATGATCACCATCGTTGTGGCGGTGTGACTGTATCGGCGTTCCAAGACGCACTGAACCAATGCGGTATCTTCCTGTCAACTATGCAGCTCCATGGGGTCCAGCAACGGTTTTACAACTCCAAGATGGACGCGATCGACTACAACGCGTTGTCATTGTTTGTTGCGTTGGATTCGCATGAAGTGTACGTTCGAGGTCTTCCTGTTCTTGACTCACTTTGTCACGTAATGTCATAGGGATGCGATACTCAAGGACATTGCCGCGCATGTGGCGTCTTCCTTTGGCAACATTCGCCAAATGCTGCAGCAGTACGACCCCCACGGCTCAGGCTGTGTCCCACGCTCGACGTTTCAAGAGTTTTGCCGTCGCTTCAGTAGCGTCTCCGACGTTGACCTGCATTGGTTTGCCCAGTCGTTTGTAAGCCCGTACGAGCCGCATATGATCTCCTACGGCCGACTCGTGGATGTGATGCCCCATCCTGCGCCAGGGGGAACGCAAATGAGTGGAGGGCATTACGACCCAAGGTGCACATTTATGTCACATGACAACCATTTCGGTTCCAGGAGCCGACTGAACCCCTCCCTTTTCCCATAGAGGGGCGCCAGTAACGCCCATGTACAACATGAATGCTGCTTTCCCCACGTCGCCAATGATGGCGCGTCAACCATCCCCCCAAGCGGTTCTGTTTTCTCCAACCCATCAACAGCACACGGGATATTCCACCATGGTGAATCATGCCGTTCCAACAGCACAAGTACGCCCTTATGACACATGTTTTGACGCGCTATTGCTATGGAGGATCACACGAGAAATGGTAGGTTGTGCTTCAAAAGAACGGCTGGATCTGTCGCGTATGTGCGCACCAGCAGATTGAAGACTGGGTCACACACTGCGAAATCTGCGAAACGTCCAAACCTCATGGAGGTGCCCGTGGCATCTTCGTGAAGTGTCCCCATTGCAAGTTTGACAATAACTTTGACGCGACCCGGTGCGAGCTCTGCAACCACACAATCAAGTCTCGTCAACACCACAAGAAACACAAAAAGAAGAAATACGCGAGCAGCAGCTCATCGTCCAGCAGCAGCAGTAGCAGCAGCAGCAGCAGCTCGTCGAGCAGCGACGGGAGCCGACGTCGACGCCGCAATCGAAGCCATCGATCCAAAAGTCAAAAGAAACGACGCCAGGAGCATACGTCGCGTTTCCATTCTGGAGAGTCCATTCAAGCCATTCCGATCAAGGGCAACGAGTACGAAACTGGCCGCATTGTCAAGGCGCACAAGGATGAAACGTACGACGTGAAATTCGACACGGGAAAGGTGGAGCAGTACGTTCCCGAGCAATCCATCCGAGAGCTGGTACGATTCATGAGTAGCATGCGTGCAAGATATGACTTAGACAGTTTGTAGGTTCGATCGAAACACCACCAGTCGCCGTCGCATCATCACCAGCCATCGTCACCACGGAAGAGCCATCACCACAGCCACCACGGCCACGACGAGTACCGAGACCCCCACGAGGACAAGCACCACCGTCCATCGTCTCCGCGGAAGCATGCGACCTACGACGAATCATCCTCAGACGCACCCGTAAAGGCAAAGTCCCCTCGAAAACCGAGTCGCCCCGACCCAATTATTACAACCGATTCAGAATCGTCTCGACCCCCCAAGTACAAAGTTGGGCAAGGTGTCAAAGCGGATTACAAGCGCCAAGGCGAGAAATTGGCCGCGGTGGTGGCCAAGGTGCATTCGGACGGCTCGTACGACTTGGAATACGAAACCGGAAAACTCGAGTCGCGGGTTCCCGAATCGCTCATTTCCACAGGACTCAGCCACTCGCCAAAGAAGAAGAAACCTGCGGACGACACAACCACGACGACGTCCGATGAGAAGGTAGTGTTTGAAAAGGGCCAGAAAATCGAAGCAAAGTATGGCGCCAAGTCATCGTGGAAATCTGGGGTCATTGCAAGAAAGCGCGTGAATGGCACGTACGACATCGATTACGACGAGGGAGAAAAAGAGGTGCGTTATCGAAACAGTTGGACCTTTCTAATGCACACAAACTAGTCGGGAGTCGCGACACGACTTATCCGGGCGAGGCCAACTTCCCCCAAGAAAAAGAAGGCGGAAGCGTCCACCGCGGAAGAAGACAAGCCAAAGAAACACAAGTTCAAACAAGGCGATAAAATCGAAGCCCAGTACAAAGGAAAGGACAAGTTTTACCCGGGGGTGATTGCTCGCGCGCGATTGAATGGATCGTACGACATTGACTACGACGACGGCGAAAAGGAAAGTGCTGTTAGCGCCGACTTAGTCCGAGCAAAAAAGTCGTCACCAAAGAAGTCCCCCAAGAAGAAGCAACCCGATGATACGTCCACGGAAGAAGACAAGTCAAAGAAAAACTTCGAACAAGGCGACAAAGTCGAAGCGAAGTGTGGCGGCGAAGACAAGTACTACCCTGGTGTAATCACTCGCGTGCGGCTCAATGGGACGTACATCATTGAGTATGACCACGGCATCACGGAAACCGGCGTGGCTGCCGACTTGATTCGACCGAGAGGGTCTA